AGACAGAGGTGTTGCGTGTAGACAAATCACTTGACACGCACATGCAGGGTCCACGGCCTATGTAGCCAGGGAAATCTAAGCCCTCTTCGCCTCGCTCTCTACCCTAGTCCTCCCCGCCATCACCGCATTCAAAGACACTCCCGGCGGTGGCCGCGGTGGAGAAAGCTTCTCGCTAACCACAAACACCTCCTATAGGTGACCGTAGGTATACGTATACTCACAGCTAGAAGATAAAACCCTTGAGCTCTCTTCTCAACATTGTGTTAGCAAACGGCCTACACGTGTTTATGGAGATTTGGCGCCTTTGCGAGTTCTGTTCGTAGAGTTTGTGGACGTGGAGATTTATAAAAGGCCTCCTCGCATGCATTGCCGCCTGTTACGCACGACACGACAGCACGACAGAGGGGCCTACGTACGTACAGCCACTCTACAAAAGTGTTCGTGATTCCGATTTCGGAGTGAGACACTTCTTCATATAACCCGCGTGGCGGACCATCAAAACCCCCAATAGAAGACTTTCCCAGTGACCAATGGCGCCCAAAATCAATAAAGAGGCAGATAATGATCTACTTTCTTATATATACTTAGTTACGAACTATATTATACATTTTTCGTTGTTTTAAATCTCAACATTAACATCAACTTCACGGCGCCACACTACGCATTGACATTAAAATTCAATCACGAACACTTTTGCAGAGTGGCTGTACGTACCCGGTGCCCACTAGAGTAGTCAATAGTAACGACTTAATATATCATCCTAACCTTAGAAGTTACAAGTATATGTTAATACTACATGTACATACATGTATGCTTAGCTCTTGATTTAGGGTTACATACACTCAATAAATAGGAACACTAATTTGGCTCTGATCCCCGAGTGATATTCTATGATTTGAATTCAAAATAACCTGAAACGCGGATTATAGTGCAGAGGTCCCGCCACGTTGATTCAGTATAGGGTTGATTTGGATTGCCTATGGCTCCAGTATTGTGTTACAGCTGCAGAGAATTCTGATTAGGCGCGTATAGAGAACTAGAATATATACAAAGGGGCAAGTCGTCTTCCGGACAATTCCAAATGAAAACCTACTAATAGGTACTAGAGACCGGGGGATATTGCATCAACTTCTTTTTTATACATTGGCTGGTTGAAGTCTCTATGATTGGCCACTAGTCATGCCCTTCGTTATCAAACTACGCCCGTCACTGATCATGAGAGGACTCTACAGACAGTTGGGGTTATCGCGGTAACGTGACTTAAAACTACTTCTTCTACTTCATAATAGACTTTGAACCTCTTTCCTTTTGGATTTCGTTCTGATACTTTGCTGATCCATGATCCAACGAAGTTACCCCCCAACTACATATACGGTACACATCCAAGCCCGGCGTGAAACAAACCAGCTCTACCTAAATTGAAGTTTGTTTAATTAATTCGAGTCCTATACTTCTTGATTGGCCGGACCTGTTGAAGTCTTAATCTCGGACCTAGCAAGCTTTTAGAGGTTAATCATGTGATTGCAGCGGGGTTGTCGTCATGTGATAATTATAGGGGGTGGGGATTCATGGACTAAATCTAGTTTCGGACTATGGAGTGTGTAGGTATATTCATAGGTAATCGTCCTAGACTCAAACTCGTGAGATTCTAGACAGGCCGGGTTTGTTATGTTTGAGCTGGTCTATTTAATAATCAATGTTAATACGACGGAGAAATAGCTAAAAGAAAACTTACGGATAAAATTAAATGCAAGAGTTTATGATGTCAGTACCATGTACATATCGAGAAAGATTTCTTCCTCGCCTGTTTTATTCGACTATAGTTCTATAGAGTCAAAATCCAGCAATGAGTAGAATTCAGCAAATAACTAAGAGAACGAGCCAAGATTTTCTGCTGGGCCCACGATACTTACCGCGGTCCAGATCCATGATCTGATGTCGAGCGAACAGACAGCGAGGTCCGAGCTGGGGCGAATTCTCAGTGCGATGAATGGTAATATGCCGACTATCTAGGTACTTATATACCCCAAGTATACGTACAGTACTAGATCTATTTGTTTGGCCAGAGGTTCAACAGGCTAGCAGTCCCGAGCTGAGGATTGGCTATAACTCTGATGGAAACCAGACCATTGGAACGAAATCTGGAACTCTAGACTGATTAGTTTAGTCGGAGTCCCGTTTCTACGTTGGGGTTAAGTTTTACCCCAAGAATTATGCTACCTTATTAAACCGGTTATAGTTAAGTCGTCAATAGTTACAAGTATTCCATTGGGAACGATGATTACAAGCCTTTCTCGTATCATGTAATTATAATAAAATGACGATAACACGGAACCATGTGCATACGTACCAATGATCCATGATAATCAAAATACTAGGTACCCAGTCAAAACACGCGTAAGAAGGAACTCGAGGTAAATAAGGGGCTTTTCCATCCGCGCACGTACGTACTCAATACCTACATTCTAAAACAAATACTCTTCCGCTGCATAGACCTAATTAACCTACCAGGAAACAACCTGTTCGCTTTATGACCAGGTATTTGTCGATGATCAATTGAGATGGTGAAACCCAAGCGTTCAATAGATTGCGGGCCGACGACTCCAGTTGCGCGTTCAGAATACGAATACAGTAGAATACGAATACGCAGTAGATCAAAAAAAATTCATAGCGTACACAAAGCAACGTTGCAATTGTGGCTGTGCGTTTGAACCCCAGAATAACCACGGTTAAGGATATCCAGATTGACGAATAACTATTAACCGGGTGTTCAATTACTTCCGTGCCGAGGGTGACGTCCCGAGCCGACTGCACGGTTCGCCTGGGCACCGGGCCGTCTGACCTCTACTTTGGTGCCGCTGTCCAAGAGTGGAGTTCGAAAAATAGATTTAGATGAATGCAATCTTTGGGTCGAGATTAGTGATCATAAATAATGGTATCTAAGGATTAGAAGGATTGTCAGTAGATTATATTCCTTCTATATTTCAATGGTAGGCCCCTCAACCAGAAACTACAGTACATTCCACCACTTTCTTCATCCAAATAGGCAATAGAATAGAAATGTCATCGAACCACCCCTTACTTCGATTGTCAGAATGACACTTGCGCTCAGGCTCATGTATATGCACAACGGCCGGTATTTGATTCGTAGTACTGAGAGTGCCCTTGCTTGATGCACTGTAATTGCGTTCTTGAATATCTAAGCGCAAATGTAGAAGAGCTGAATGATTAATTACCAGTAATACCTGTCACCAATAGTAATTATGGCATTCACCAGCCATGAGATAGATATACCGTTTGCAGAATCGTTGACAGTACCTACGAAGTACCATGCACAACTCTGCAGTGCGAAGCTTTATAGGGGAATCACGGCTAGCAACCGACAGCACATGTCACAAAGGGAATGCACCGCTCCCGGCATCGGAATAGCAGACCTAATTAACGACCGGCGAGCTGACAACCAATCTTCCCGTATCTGGGCCCGACCTTTCGGATCTGCCCCGAGTACGGGGGCCAACAATTTGGAGGTGCAGTTATTAAACGGGTAACTACGTACCAAGCTGACCAAACAGAAGAATTACCTGGCACTGTCAATGACTGTAGAACATGAAATTTGGGCTGTGACAAGTGCGCGCTAACACAAAGAACCAGGATTCAACGCTACATAAGCTTTTCTGCATAGAGTACCGGCACAAGCTTTGCTGTGTCGTATTGAAACCCTGACGTGGCCCTCGAAGAAAATATTTGGTCTTTTAGATGTTCCTTCAGGATAGACAAATTACCTCCACCACAGGTGCTCCATGTAGAGTAGTCACTCCAGTACTTACACTCTATGTATCCCCAGCGGCAAAATCAACCATGACACCGCCACTTAGAGACAAACTTACAGCGGGTTGACTCCCCACAGGCCCAACAAGAATAATTATTTATCAGCCGCTCTAAAAGTGATGGGTAAACTACCACATACATATGTACCTACCTGCAAGGCATACATGTACCTACTCTAGCTCTGTTCTACTCCTTACAGCATTAATCACCTTAGAAGGAAAGTCGTTGTTAGAAATGGCAAAAAAAAAAAAAACTGAAAACTGAAACCGTTCAACAAATAGGAAATAAGTCTAGGTAGCTTTAGTCCGTAGCCAACTGAGCGGACCCATCATCTCGGGGCTGAACGGGTTGTGATTACCGCGGTTCATTGATAGGGTATGGATAATCTGCACAGGAATGCGCACGCCTGCCGAGGAGATTTTCCAAGTTTTTCATCGAGAGTAGCGAAAATACGATGTACTTTTATTATGATCAAAACGTCCCCTTTATTCAGATCAAGGTTGATAACGCGCCCCGACTTTACATTCCTTCATGTGAAGGTTGACTGTGAGACTTCCGGCTGGCCGATAGATAGCCGATAGGCAGTACAATAAACGCGATCCCGACAACAATTCACCCCATGGAGTAGCGGAAATCGTGTGGTGGAGAAGTGAGGATGTATGCACTTTATTTATGCGGGCGACTTCTAAATAATGTGCCTATTTTTGTTGGGGATCACAGAATGTTGCTCACACAACTCAATAGTCGATAGAGGACTTCCGGGCACAAGAATGCTTATCAATTTTAGGCTAGAGGCACGCGAAAAAGAAAAAAAAGAAAATACCCAGAATTATCTCCCACAGAGTAGTTGTATCAACGTCTATTTGAAGTTTCCATTGAAACAACATTCTCGATCAAACTGAAAGAGAGAAAAGAAAAATCCATAAAAGCAAGCTATATAATGCTGACGCCGTTCAGACCCCTATACCTCAAAAAAACAGACATATGAAAAGAGGGTAAAGAAAAATATAACCCCCAAACCCAAGAAATTTTTATGGAAGCCTCCCAAATTGTCATAACAGCCTTGTTTTCCGTCACCAAAGCCTTTTTTGTTGCACCCATTCCGCCTGCATATTACAAAACCGCCTCTCCTCCACAATACAAAAGAATCATGAAATACAAGTGACTATTTCCTATGAGGCGGGAGCAAGAGCGATTGGCGCAGCAATCCTGGTGACCTGGTCACCGGCGCGGACGATCCGCTGGTTGTTAGAATCGAGGGCAGCTCTGACTTCCTTGTTTTCCTTTTGCGCCTGTTTCCAGATTTCGACTTCGCAACCACCACGGATGACAGCGACACGGAAGTTGGAGAGAAGGTTGTGGGCAGCGTTGGAATGGTTGTAGACACCGCCGTTGAAGATAGCAGTTGCGTCCTTTCCAATTCCTGAGTTAATCATAGCCTTACCACCGGGGTGGTCGTTAAGGAAAGCAGTAACATCATGGACTACACCGGCGACGAGGACGAGAGCACGACCGTTTTTGGCCTGTTCCTGGTAATCTTCGAATTCCATGACGGGGAGTTGCTCGAGAGGAACACCCCAATCGAGGGTAGCACGTTTCTGGTCAAGCTTCTTCTGTTGCTGTTGAAGTCTGCCCTTCTCGATCTCGTTGCTACGGAATTGCTTCAGATCGTAAGCGAGACCAAGCTGCTTCCAGGTCCAGATGCACCACTTGGTAGGATCATCTATATAGTTGATTAGTACAGGTTTCCATGAACAAATGCGTCTAGTAGAAGAATCATACATTGATGCCATTGGATAGCGTTGCGGTAGTCGCTGGGGAATTCGTGATGAAAGTTGTGGTATCCTTCTCCAAGGGTAACAAGAGCAGTAATGACGTGATCTCTCGGTGAGTTGCGGTCGTCGAATGGCTGATCACCGAGCCAGTGGGCCAAAGAATTGACGCAAAAAGTGGCCTGTTGAACGAAGAAGACCCTGAGAATACCGGCGTAAACAAAGCCGCCAATCCAGTCACCCCATCCAAGACCGGCAACGAGAGTAGGAAAGATCAATCCCATGAAAACCACAACCCAGAGGTAGTGCTTGTGCTGCCAGACAACGACGGGGTCCTGGTTCAAATCAGAGATATCGGTACGGCCAATGCGCTTCGGGTTTTGCTTCATAACCATCCATCCCAAATGCGAGTACATAAGACCCTTGCGGACACTGTAGGGGTCTTTGTCGGTATCGGTGTAGCGATGGTGAGCTCTGTGGTCTCGCGACCACCAACGGATGGATCCTTCAACGGCACCACCTCCAACAGCGGCAAGGAAGAGCTTAAGCGGAAGAGTGGCAGAGTACGACGAATGGGCCCAGAGACGATGGTACCCGGCGGTGATACCGAGACCAGTCCAAAAATAATAGGTAATTGACCAAATGAGGGTGTTTCTGTACAAAGGAGTGTAAAATGAAGCCCAGATACCGAGAATTGGGACAATGACAATGAGGGTAATGTTGAGTTTGTGCAAGTGCTGCCACCAATTCTGCATAGTGATAGGCTGTTGATGATAAGAATGTCAGTATCATGAGTATGAATTGAGCTACAAGGAGGCAGTAGAATTTACCTGATCGGTGATATGGGGTTTGTTGGAGACAGGACGTTTGGCCGCCTGATCCCCGGAGGGAGAAACAGTAGGAGCAGCCATCACGCAAGTGCTAGAGAATAGCTTTTTTGGGTGATGATGATAAGGTTGGGAGTTTATGATACGGAGGGATAAAAACTGAAGTTGTTATCACCGTGAACTCCTTTTAAGAAGCTGGTCCGGGAAAGAAGAAGAATGGAAGCTCAGCGGGGGAACATTCTGTACTTAAAGACTTAAAGGGGGGCTTCACTCGAAATTTCTCTGGGCCCTAGATAGCGACAATCGATAACGGAACTAGGCCTGATTTAGCCACTCAAACACCAAAAAATCTCAAACTCTGTTCATCTCACTCTGTGCCAGTCGCCAGAAGAGAGCCGCGTAAGGAAGCCCCTATCCTAAGATTAGCTAGTGGCCGTCCCAACAACGCACTCAACAAAAACGGCACCCAGCCTCAAGCCCAGATTCCGTGTTGCACAAAACATCTCTCCCCAACGCCTGTCCCTGTCGACCTACATTGAATGCAGGCACCCTGCTCTGCTGTTTGGTCCCCTCGGTCTATGTTGGGGACCGCGCGTTCAACTGCCAAACGTTCAACACTTACCGCTAGAACGAGGTCTATCCGCCACTACCATGATGTGGCAAGCCTCTCAGTAGAGTGGCGAGAGAGAAAGAAAGAAAAAAAGGTCGGGTTTGATCAAGATCTCCAAGCACCGCCGTGCCATGGAAAAGAATATCTGGGGTGAAGTCAATCTTACATCTGACATCGCCTAATGCCGTGACAGGCATACGCCTGCCGCAAGTAATACTCAGCACGCAAGCCGACACCGCAAGTCTCACACAAGCCTTATCGATAAACCTCTCTAGACAACTACTGAAAGGCCAACTCTTTGACTTCTTTGAGTAAAGTGTGCTGTTTTAACATTCGACAGTCGTTCGACTTGTTGCCTTTCCCTCAACAGTTTCTTCGGATATGTGGGGTTCCTTTTTTCTTCTTTTCTCATGGACCGACCTCAACCAATGCATACATGTATGCATCGACATAATTGTTTTCCTTAAGTTCTCCCTGGGATGATTCTTAAGGTCTCATTTGCCGAATCAAACTGCATTGCATTAACATGCGATAAGTGTGATAAGGCTCTCGTCACCCCAAACCTTCCATTCCAAGGTTGGAAAGATTCCAGAATAAGGGCCATCATGAGGCTCGGTAAATTTATTACGCGAACACGCTAGAATTTAACCGCCAGGATCACGATAAGATTTGTGTGACTAATTTAACCTTAGATAGTATCGGGGCTTTAATCGATATCTTCCCGGATATGCTAAGACCAAAACTGAAGATTAGTCAAGGGGGGGTCAAAAATGCATAACAGGGCACGATGATGTCTCAAGGTTTTCATTCATCGGAGGGCATATCCTTCTTCCCTTGAGCTATTTCACAAAAGTGGCTTTGTTTAGCAGCTACATGTAGTTGAAGACTGAAGTCCAACGAACGCCGACAATCCCTGTTATACTTTAGTACCACACTGCCCATGCCGCATTTAATTGATCCGATGGATGGAACTCGGCGGCCGAGTTGACGAGCTCGGCCGATGATGGTTGGAAACCTTGTTTGGTTGAGTATTTCTGATTTTGATGTTGACTGATCAGATATCCACCTATCCGGATTTGTCGATAAAAGATATCTCTGCAGAGTACCGCTGGCAAGATAATACTACATCGACACTCTAGAGCGCAAGCTTCCACCCAAACTTTGGTTTTACGGAACAGACGTTTAGGCCATTACTGTTGGGATAATCGATACCCATGCCACACCAGGCAAACATAAACAGGCTTGTTTACCGAATTGCTCGTACTTATGAATGATGCACTTAACGCACATGTGGCTCATGAGTCGACAGCAAAGGCGCATGTTAGACTGTTGGGACACATATCTCAGAATAAATAATCAATATCACATGTTTCTTCCCCTCTTGTGTGCATGCGCTCTACATACTTATATTCATCCGGAATTTATACAATTGTGTTTGGAGAGGACAATATGCAATAACACATGCTCAATATTTATATCTTTGTTTAATTATAGAAAGTGCAACACTGCACTGAGCTACATATAGGTACGTATATACTCACTATCAGATTAATAACTATGCAAAATATTGACTATCAGATGCCACTATATAACAAGTTGTATATGCTTATGGTGCCATATCATTTACATGTAATTCATTGCCGTTGTCGCAAGCTGACGTCGTTTCATAACCATGAGTAGAGTAGATTCGCCAATATATACTAGTGCATATCTATACTCCATAATGCATGCATCTTAAATCTAGGTCTAAGAGATTCGAACGCATCAGCCCATTAGTATTAAGAAGCTATTGAGTACTATAACTCACATATTCGCCGAATTATAACTGGTGGTGGTAGGCAGCTTGCACATGTAGGTATTTACGTGTATAAACATGACTTCCTGTGGGCGTTTGGAAGCGGTTTGGATGGAATTTAGAGCAATAAAATTTAGAAAGTAACCTCTCAGATTTTCAGACTCTGAAAATCTGAACTGAGGGGGGAGTGGTGCATTCAGATTTCTAAACGCCAAAAATCTGGAATAGAGCAATATGGTTGGTTTTTTTTTTTTTTTTTTTTTTTTGGGGGGGGGGGCGCAACCGCAGGTTACTACGGGAAGGCGTTCTTATCCAGATCAGAAATCTAGTTCCTAAATCTCTGGGACAAATATAATTCTAAAAATGTATATACGGTGGTTGTTATCTACTACCTATGCCGGTGAGACACGCATATTCCAGTATTTCCTATCTTAATACATAGTCCCTTCCAGCGTTCAAGTTACTCAGCCAGATAATCCTATCACTAAGTTACATTGTATTTAGGGGGAAATATTACCTGGATACTTAAGATATAAAGCCCTGAAGTCTGTGTCTCACCGGCAGCCCAGAGGACGCGAGTATTAGCGTATATATGTGAGCATTGATTTATAGACTACATGTAATTATAAGTTATATATACGTTACAAAGTTTGTTTAATGTGTAAATAAACCTCTTCCCAATCCCGCTACATCGACCAGATCAAGCCTCACCAAGCCATTCTACCCCAGGATCTAGTCAATTGACAAAAACAGCTAAATAAACTACAATCTAACCATGGTACACGAAAATATCATTGTTAAAGCTGCAAGTAGAATGTACTCCTTGACCTAACTACTAGTTCCGATTGATAGGAACAATTCTCCGTCGACTGTAACCCCATTCTGACGCGGTTTGACGTTATATAAGCAGTGTAGTATATTTCGTAAATTAATTAACCAATATACTTAATTGGAACATTGAGATCCTTTGCTATCTGGCTTTGTAAGAGCGCGCACCAGATATTAATCACTATAAATTCTGATAATGAATGTTATAAAGTACAGTCGTCTCTGGGTCAACGACGAAACCAGTTCGGTGGCGAATAGGCCAAAAAGCGCCCCGACCCTTTTGCTTTGACTGGCTATCAGCCCAAAAAGTAGCCACTCGGCATCGAGCCGGGTTCGTCGTTGACCCAGAAACGACTGTACCTATGGATCCATAGTATGCAGGTCACGTGGATGCCGATTTTCCGTCAATGGATTATCACTCGTTTTTCGAGATACAATACGACATGATTTTTTTTTCGTAAAATAAAAATATGTGGAATTACGGGTATAATATAAGTCATGGAGCATTATTTGTGAACGAAGCTAGCGTATTGATAATACATGTAGTTTAAACAAGTAGTTTCCAGCCTTCGGCCGGTACTATATGTGTATCAATCAGTCCAATATACAGGCAAGCCGCTTTGTGGCTTATTTCTCTTTTGCCTGCCAGGAGGGGTCGAGGGCCACGCAGCGGTCTGAGAGCCCCGACTGACAGGCAAAGTCCATCACTATATCTAGATCTGCTCTGGTCAATATGTGCCTTTTCTGTTATCCCCGATATATCAACGGAGAGGTCAGACAATTTCTCCAGTTAAAACTACAGGTATATCCCTTTAGCAGCCACCAAGCTGCTAAAATCGAACTACTAATCAATTTCCAGAACCAGTAGAAACCTTATTAACACTCTGACAACACTCAGCACAATACCCTATGTTAATATCCAACACAACATGTCTCAAGTGAAACAAAAACATCTCTCAATGAATCAATCAGAAGACTATAAAAGCACATTGCATATGCAGGTTATAATTATATACTTATTAGATGTAGAAGGTCGTTGCACTAAGATGTACATTACATGTAGTACAGCGACAGGTAATAAGTGATGGAACGCCCTGAGAGTACAAACACCAAATGTTGGTGGCGTTTTACCAAAACAAGTATTGCTCTGTTCCATCACTTATTACCTACCGCTGTACATGTATTTACATGAACGTGTATCATGTATATACAGCTTTCATACTCGAAGTACTGAAGCTTACGTACATGTAGTAATTAGACTACATAGAGTCATACGTGTCACAGACAGCAATACGTTCTAACTCAGCTTACCATACTAATACTGCAAGTTCTACTCTGACTGTACATAGTACGTAGTAGGCAGTATTATCAAGCGCAACCCTACCCGGCGCACTTGCGATCTATACCGCTCTCATCCTTGATAACCATCAACTCCCCTGTTGATTATTTGCTAAAGATTCATAACTATCAAGAAGAGAAGGGAATATCTCATCTTCAACATACACAATCAACACGCAGATCCTGCATATCAATATCGAAATCGTCAAAAATTTAATACAATATCGTTTCTTGTTCACCGACACGATATCAGGCCGTATATATTCATTTCTAGGAGAAATACACTAAATACTTCCGGGCACGTACGGATGAGATATGACGCACCACGTGTGCCAAATGTCTCGGAAGATGAGGGCCGGAAGCTTCTCATATTAACAACGTTATACTGATAGCAGAAGAAAAGGTGTCTGGGAATTTGGTTTGTGTGCGCGTGCGTGGGGGGGGGGGGGGGGGGGGGGTATGTGCACTGAAGGCCAACAGCCCATGTAATGAACAAGAATATAATTCAGTCTCTTTGAGCCAATCTTTACACCAAGTATCTCACTTTGGAATCCAAATTTTCACCTTGTAGTACCATTCCATCCCTTGCGGTACTCACAATACCCTCCCGATCCCTCTAGCAGGGTTATAACGTTAATATAAAGTTGGTGATTTGGGAAAGTAGTAATTCCTCCGTGGACCCTGCTAAATCTTGGTTTCTATGGCGCGAATAACCCTCAAGATCAGTCTTCGGCCTTCGAAACTGTTACTTCGTTATTCAGGAGCTTTCATCACCGCAAGATGAACAACGATGGGCAGGGTCGGCTATATATATATATGCATATGTAGTTGATGAATCTACCTTTACACATCACGAAACTCAAAGAACGACGAGGAAGGCGACGTTGAAACAAGAAGTGGCAAGCCCCCGATTATCGTCAACCACCCAGCCATTCCCAACTCAGGAATCCATCTAGCGAGTGGTAGGGAACAACTGATTGCTGCCAAACCTTTCTCAGTAACCAAACTTTATCTGAACGTCGTGGAGTTGTTTAGGGGCGTTCTAGACACGCTAGTCTCTTTTCTTATCCCTTAAGCTGTCGCGAAAATGCTGACCCACCAAAAAAAAGCAAATTTGGTGTGGCTTTACTAACAGATCCCGTTATCTCTCTTATCAAATAATAGATCTCTCATACAAATCTAATTCCTCTGTTATAGGGGGGTCAGCATCAACACGTTATGGGATAGACCTCGCCGCCCTCCGCACAATCTGGGCACGAGAGGCGTATATGGATACGCGATTCGTATGTCAGACTTATGGACTGGCCGTAGCTCGAGATAGTGCTTTAGACACTAAATTGTTGGATCTAGGAGATGACCTCCTCACTTTGGTCTCCTGGCTGGGACCTAGGCCTCTCAGAAAACGGCAAGCAACTTTTGTTGTTTAGGTTTATTTTGTACGTGTTGCTTTAGAAATGAACGCATAAACGTCTCCCTGGGCAGGAATTACTTGAGGTTAAATGCCTATGTCTACGAACTTGCCTGGTCTTGACATTATCTATCGAATCTTCACAGAAAGTCACTCGAACATGCAAGGACTTCAATCATCGCAACATACGCGGTATGTTACGATTGCTGACTTGATAGATTTTGGTAATTGACACAATGCCGAGGTAAATCCTCCGGTTTCCGATACTGTAACTGGGGGATACTACCCGGTATGTGGCGAAGACGGTTGCTTCCGCTTCACCAACCTTCGGCGTTATCCCGATATTCAGTACGTATGTACAGTAGGAAGCAACCGTAACCTTTCTTTTCGAGTTTCTTTTTCTTCTTTTTTTCCAAAAAATCAACCCGGTCAGACCCATCTTGTGATTAGGCTCAAGCGAAGGCAGATCGGCTCCTCCGCTTGAACCCGTTCATCGCGTTCCACGCCTGGTTAAGTAGGGAGAATCAAAGTTGATAGAGATTAACCATGTAAGTACGAGCGGGTACTTATCAAGCCCCATAACTCTGCATGCATGCGTGGGGATCTGCAACCAACGCGTGCGATAAGATAAGTATTTATTGTTATTATATATTAGGTATTATTGCTGTACGACTCAATATCAGTTGTCGACTGATTAATATTCTCCAAGTCTCTGTCTGGGCAGACAGGATTATCGGAGGCGCTCGAGCCAGAAATCGGCGCATCACCCCAAAACTCACACTGAAGTCTGCTGAGAGCCAAAGCAGGTACTCTTAGACAAGTGACAAAGAGCTTGCCCCCATATGTAAAGCACGATCAGGCGAAGAAAAGAAAAAAAAATAAGCAGCAACTGCATGCTCTGATAGGCCTATATTCTTTCACCTTTCCCGCCTCTTTTAGGGCAGTTCCGTGATTCCCAGCCAGCGCTCTTGTTTCGGGCCACTCCGTCGCCGCTTCCCTCTACTCTAGCTCTACACTGTCTCATGGTTACGGCAGTAAATTGAGGGTTGACATTTACATGGTAGGTCATCGTGTAACTAATGGCAGTGACTTGGTTTATTGGTATTCCTTATCGTACAGATATTGTGTACAGTCGCATGCTCGTAGTGTGGCGATAGTTGACAGAGCCCCTCAGAGCTCACCGTAACATATATATATAGAAAGTAAGCTTAATCCAGATGGAATCAAATACCGTGTTCCTTAAGGCACTCGAAGCCAACCACTACTACAAGCTGTTGTATCAACCAAGCTGACACCTTCTACCCCAATACCATTACGCAGATCACAACATTTTGTGGGGGTGCTTGGACCATAATCTTAGAATACCGGACCATAAATTAGGTTAAATCGGCCAACTAGGAACAAGAAGTGCAGGAAAAAAAAACTGGACTCATTTTTCACCTAATCTAATTAAAATCAGAATGTCTGAACCGGACAGAATTGGACCAGATGTTGGGCCAAAAAAAACCATGACAGATCGTGTTCATGCTGTTAAGCATGCATTTCTGACGAGGCATGCTTCTTTAACCATTTGTTTTGTACGATAACTGCTAATACATGTGATATAGGGACGGACTACTTGGTAACTACGATTATGGCTTCCTCTTTCGCGTACGGATGATCCAGTTATGACACGAGACCACCTCTCTAATGTTTTCCATATAGCCCAACCTACCATTCATGCGCCGCCCGCGCAAAGCCGCCCCGTTCTTCGGCCTCGACGACCGCATGCCGGTTGTCCTAGGATTGATCCTCGGATTCCAACAGTAATTATACACTCCACGTCTCTCACTACCAACGTATTACTCATGTTATCTCTCGTAGTGCGCTTGCAATGTTGGCAGGAGTTGTTTCTCCGCCAATTATTATAGGAAACGCCGTAAATCTAGGACCGGAAATGACACGGTATTTGGTGTCGACTTCCTTGATTGTTTGCGGGTTTTTGTCAGCGATACAAATCACCAGGTTTCACATCAAGGGGACGCCGTATTATATTGGTACGGGTTTGATATCGGTGTAAGTTAATATGATATAGTTATCGAAGATGTCGGAAGCTCATGAAGCCGTATATAGAGTTGGGACATCTTTTGCTATAATCCCCGTTGCATTGGGCGCGTTTGAACAGATGTACCAGAACGGAAAGGTAATAATTGTTTCCCCTGCTTCTTTAGCTATTCGCATGAACTAACCTCAATCAACAGTGTGCGTTTAAACTTCCTTTCAAGAACACCAAAAACGACGAGGAATGATCTATCTAATGTCATCTATTGGTATAATACAGGTCTTACAGATGAAAACGGCATCCGGCAGCCTTGTCCCGATGCCTATGGTAATACTTTCCAAAAAACACCAACAACCGAGTGATAGTTTATGATTAGAAATTCAACACGAAAACAGAAAACTGATATAGATTTCTTCAGGTGCCCTCCTCGGAACCGGTATAGTTTGTGCATTCCTCGAGATATTCATATCTTTCATGCCTACTCGATGGATCCAACGCATCTTCCCCCCCATAGTCACTGGTCCCACTGTTTTGCTCGTCGGTGTAAAGCTTATTAGCAGTGGATTCAAGAATTGGCTAGGAGGGTCGGGACCATGTATGAATATGCCAGAGGCCGGATTGTATTCATTGTGCCCTAGTGTAAATGCGCCACATCCGCTGCCGTGGGGTGCGACGGAGTTCATCGGTTTGTTAGATCAAATGACAGAATTGAACAAGGCTGATAATTCTAGGGTTGGGGTTCTCGGTATTCATCACAATTATATTGTGTGAGAAATTTGGAAGTATGTAGTCTTCCACTCAAACTGTGATAGGTACATTTCGCTGAATGTTGTGATAGGTCCAATTATGAAGTCCACCAGCATTGTGATTGGTCTCCTTACTGGATGCATCATTGCTGGAGCAACCAATTATTTCGACAAGACTGGTATCAACGACGTAAGACATTATTTCAGTATTTATCACTTGAGATTAATGCTAAGTTTTCAATCGTACTCAGGCACCTGCTGTCTCGTTCGTTTGGGTGCACACATTTAAGCTCTCGGTATATGGGCCACTAGTATTGCCGTAAGCATATACCCCTCCCCTTTGTGGGGTAAATACATGTAGCTAAATCCACGTCATGTAGCCTGCTAGCGGTGTATATCATTTTAGCCTGCGAAGCAATTGGTGATATAACCGCAACTTGTGATGGTATGCTATTGCTTCCCAGCCCCGAAATGAAACATTAAGATTAACTGTTGCTGTAGTTTCCAGACTAGATGTTGAAGGCGGGCTATTCGATTCAAGAATCCAAGGAGGGTTATTAGCTGATGGCCTTAACGGCCTTGTTGCTGGCCTTGCTACAATTACTCCTATGTCGACATACGCCCAGAACAATGGTACGTCCTCTGATATCCATCCTTTTTGAGTTGAGGATAGTAATAAAAATGATATTGCAGGTGTGATCGTAAGTGTCCTATGGATGGATATATGCACCTCCAAACATTCGAGTCAAGAATACCTGACAGTTATAGGCTCTTACTCGATGTGCAAACCGGAAAGCCGGCTATGCAGCCTGGTAACTACCCATCGATTGGGTTCATTTCTCGTTCGAATGGCGCTGTATCTGACACTTGTTCCAGTTGTTTCCTTATAATCATGGGTATTTTCGCAAAGTTCGCGGCTGCTCTGGTCGCAATCCCGTCGGCAGTTCTCGGCGGTATGACAACGTTTCTGGTAGGCTTCCAGGTTTCGGATGATGGGACATGTGGAGACTGATTCATGGGGGATCTGCAGTTCTGCGCTGTTGCTGTGTCTGGAATGAGTATTACGGCGACTATGCCGTTCAGTCGACGGAGTGGGTTTTCTTTCCCCTATATGTTCGGATCTTATAGCTAGATGTATACTGACGTATTATGGTTTTATCGCTGTGTAGATCGATTCATTCTTACCGCATCTCTTTCAGTGGGGTAAGTGGCATACTGCCTTAGTTAAGTATCCTTTGCAGTATCGCGCAAAGCTGACCGAATGAAACCCAGATACGGTGCCACCCTTATTCCGGATTGGTTTGAGTGAGCCTTATCCCCGTTCTAAATTGATGTTGACACTCTTGATTGCCGTGATGCTAAATACTATTGCTCCACGACAGACATTTCTTCACTTATTCAGGCGGGGGAGGCCTGCAGGGGTTGATCGACGCCGTCAATCTCATTATGGAGACCGGGTTCGCCATAACCGCCTTGTGAGTTGAATTAGCCTTACCTTTAGTGACATCTGCAAGACCACGTTATTGTATCTGATAAACTGACGTCGTCCACTTTTTTTTCTTTTCTTTAATGCAGCATCGCAATCATCCTCAACCTCTTCTTAGATGATGAGATCGAGGACAACGGCCTGGAGATAACCAGTAGTAACGACATCACCAGATTCAACGGCGTAGAACCTCTAGATTTATCGGCTGAGAAGTCCGGAAATGAGACGCCTGCTGATATTTCAAAGCAAGTTTAGCTAATAGCGCATATATGTCTATTCAACTTCTAATTGGGTTTATGTTTTTTTCGTGTTCATCTTAATATTTGATTAGTTATTATAACTAATGTCGTGATGAATGAAAGAAATTTTCGTTACCTTACTCTCCTATGTATGAACGGACAATTGCGCCATCCATCACGCAGGGTTGAATACCGTTGTGATTCGATAAAATTTGATACAGTGCTAAGATCCGGGGTTGCGCTATTGCTGCGGATGCAACTTCTGGTAGTGGATAGTGTCAGAGGGGTAGATTGCTGGAGATGTCTGACAAGATAAGGATGTTGCTTGTATCTAGCACGTGTGTGATAGATACGTCTTGGTTATGTTTTGTGCTGGTTGATCAAGACCCCTCAGTGGGAGAAAAGCTATGGATAGGGCGGCGACCCCTCGGTGTTTTCCCCGAAAGTGTGTAGGGTTGATGCGCCTAACGATCTCACCGACAACGGGTCCTAGGTGTGGTGTGTAGGTATCTTTCTTGACCGTCATAATAAACCAAAGATGGGCGGCGGCGGCGGCGGCGGCGGCGTGATCATGTACGGCCTCTACCACTCCTAGGTAGTACAGGACCCTCCGGAGCACATATGCTCTTCTCCATCCAATAGTCAAGCGTGGCTGGAGTTAAGAAAGGCTGATCGGCAATTTGCGGAGTCAGTCCCTGCAGGGCAGCTGCAAGCGTAAACTACATATGGTCTTCGTCTCCGCAAAAACCACCCCGTCATGGATTATCACCCTAGTCTATCGAGAGGTATCATATCATGTAGGTGCCTATGTGTCCTCAACATGATACAGCTATATGTAGAGTACAACATCTAGAGGCCTAAACTGCATGTAGAGCACTACATACAGATACCCAAACTTGAGCTCCTCCAGAGTCGTACATGTAGGTACCATGTGGGTAGAGTACTTTAGGTGGTAAAGTACTCACAGTCTAAAGTTGAGCATAGCTACAAGGCCCCGGGGATAGCGGAAAAAGATCGCGGTATTTTTTCCCGCCATCGCCTCCATAGGTAGGGGGGGGGGGGTGTAAGGAAACAAACGCGCGCGCCGAGATTAGGCATTACTGCATGATTGACGCCCTGGTAAAACATTCAGGTCATGTCACCGAGTCCATGGAAATCCAATAAATTTGCCGTTCCGCATCTGCAGGAACTTTTTTCTTTCATTCTTCCTTGACGATATTCCTACATGTGCATAACTGCCTGCCTGCCTGTTGCCTGCCTGCCTGATCCGAATTTGTACTCTATGTGGATTCTTCCAGGTTGTTGGTTGAATTGTGGAGAGTTTACTGTTCCACCTGGGGTTAGCATGGAGGTTAAAGGGCTCGGCACAAGTAGTGGCTGTCTGAGGGCAAGAGAGAAAAAGGGTAAGGGACAGATTAACCCGAACACTGCAAGAGCGGTGCACGGGATGACGAGTTGCCCTACAGGCTCGGTGGGAACTAAACCACTAGGCATGCCCGTCTAGGCTATGGACCTAACAGTCGTTGTGTTTGTGGTTGGCGGTTGGCGGTTGGTGGTGGTTGGTGGTGGAGGAGGTGTGTGTACTTTAGAGGGACTAAGTCGAAAAGGTCGTGAGAAACATGGCGGCGGCAACAGCACAAAGTAAAAAAATGACTGAGAGTGCCCGAACGAGCCTCATCTCATGAGCCGCAAGTAAGGGCAAGCGATTTAAACGCAAAGGGCGGGGTCTCTAACCTAGCTGGGCCAGCCTCTGGCTTAACTGGGGAAAACGTTATAGCTAGCTTCCTCGACGGAACAACAGAGGCACGGCCGGAGTTTCCCCACAAGACTGGAAAAAAATATATTCCGTATTTCCGTTGTTATTCCTGCCTGTCCACGCCTACGCCTACGCCTCGGGTGAATCCGGGTTATTAGCAGGGCTGTCTACAAACGTCGGATGAGAATCACTTCAGAGATAAGTGGCCTACAACTCCCTCCTCCTCCATTTCCCTCTCTGGCCGTGCGTTTCCCCCGTCTGATTCTGAAGGGATCTGGCCATCGTCTTATGTATGGTCATCGCTCGCTTCCCCTCTCCCTCCCCTCTCCCATATATTACAGTCTATCATGTATTGAACAATCGCCTGCTTTTTGAGCGTTTTTCCCCCTTCATTCTCGGCCGCAGCCGTACTCTATGTATCTAGAGTACATCATGTAAGAATTATTTTTCCCTATTACCTTAGAGTGGGCCACCTTGATGTACCGTACTCGACTTTATGTAGGTATTGCCAGATGGGTACTAGTCTGTAAGTAATTTCTCCGTCGCCTGTTCAACGGAAAAACTTTTCGTCGGAGCGGAAGATAAATTCATCTTTGTACTAGTACGTACTGGGGTAGCCACCCATCCAGGTGGAGCCCCTCCCCCGATCCACCGCAAGGGAGTGATGTTGGTTACAAGAACTATGCTAGATTCGCGCGGATGTGGGGCATTATCCATATTTCCCGGTTTCTTAAACATGTGAAGGGCATCAAGAAGCGAAGTGCCTGACAGGAAGGCAGAAAGGAAGGAAGAAGCCAGGAGAGTCCAGGAGCAGGAGGAGGTTGTTTCCGGCGGCCATATCCAGAAGTCAGGGGACGGGAAGGTGGGAGCGCTCTTTGCCTATTGTCCAGATGTCGATGACTTTGGCCAAATTATACATGAAATACGACGGGGCGCTGGGCCTGTTGCCTGTTCCTGTCGTGACGGACAAACCAAATCGAAGGAAGCATTCCCAACGATCTCGCATGATGTGGAGACCTGGATCGCGTATGTGCCTGGCGAAGCCCATGTGCAGGGCTTGAGAATAAAGAGAATAAACGGAACGACTCCCGACTTTCCTCCGGTGCTTCAAGTCAGCCTACCCCCGCAAAACCACAGTATCATCTTTCGTCAGTACCCCCACGCGAAGCTGGATGAGCTAAAATGGGTGGAATGTCCCTGAACGAGCCCATTCTAGCCGTACGGAGACAAAGCCGAGGGTGAAACCGTGAAGCTTGATGAAACAACAAAAGGTACGGTAAGGGCCAAGGGCGGAGGCAAGATATGTATGTAGTGCGAAAAATAAAATCATTTTTAGACAAAAGACGTCTTTTATGTCTAGGGCAGTCTAAAAAGGCGGAGAAGGAGAAACATGGAGTCCCTCAAAACCTAAACCATCTAGTTTTAGCTAGAGGTACCTAAAGGGTACCTACAATCTAGACGCTAGCCACATTGTTTAAATGATAGTATGCCCGTCTGCGCATTATTCTTTACTTACTCTTGTCAAGTTACGCCTAGAGCGGAGTATGTACGGCGATGGATGAGTAGGCCGCATTTCACGGAAACCCTTCACAGCTGAAGTGTGCATAAGGACAGCAGAATTTGGTTGTGACAGGAATTTCCAGTTTCGTAGTTCATCTACCGTACCCCTTTTAACCCTCCCTCATCCTATCATGTTGCAAGCCATAGCCTGCTTTATGCTTTCTTCTCCATACCCCACTGCGTATCAGACATACGGCGTACCACAGAAGCCGCACCATGAGGGAACGGTGGTAGCGGTTGTCAAGCCAATTTTGTTTTTATTGATGGATGAGGTTGTTAAGTGGCCATCTGCCGAATCCCTTTTGGGAAAGTATTGTTGTGGGCGTCGAGGAGGTGAGGGGGAGGATTTGTCTGCCTGGGCCATGACGGCTCCCCCACACAACGGTATCAGATGAAATTTCCACTTGATCGAAGATAGGATGGTTGGAAAGGTGTGTAGCCAACCCCACTCACTCATCACTCAGCCCGTGGAGCCCCGAACGAGTGCGCACGCCCATTCTGGTTCCGCTTAGCCTCCAAAGACTCACAAAACGTGCGTGTTGCGTATTGTCTAGCTATCCACCGAAGGTCACGACTCACGACGAAGTTGGATATTTGTGTTCTGGTACATCTGGTACAAGAAGGCCGCCCTTCCCTCTGATCATTTCCCCGCCTGTTTCTCATATAAACGAAATAAGAAACAAAGAGAAATAGAACAAAGTTGTTGGTCCATTCAAGAACACAGCCTGCTGTAGCCCACACGTTCAGCAGCAGCGCACTTGGAAACATCTCTTATCGCAACCAGTCCGCAGTTGCAGTAAGCCAGCCCCGCCCTCTGCATTTCCCCAGTTCTCTCTAAGATAGACGAAAGGCGTGGCATTAAACTGTGCTTCAGATAATAACTGACAGGGTCGGTGTGCTGTGAGCAGAATCCGTAGAGCCAGAATCCAAATAATAACAATCAAAATCTTGGGAGGTGTTGTTAGAAAAATAAACTTGTCCCACCTGGTACCCCATTCCCCTCCGCGGCTCAGTAGTCCCCACATCGACCCAGTCAGCTACTACTACATGTACTACTACATGTACTACTACATACTACTACATACTACTACTACAGTAGCACTTACTCGCCCTAGGGGAGCAGCGGCAACAATATCACAGCGCCTCACTTTTTTTTCCTTTGCTTGGATGAAATTTTCACATTCACATACCTAGAATCCGCCTTCATATTTTATTTTTTTATTTTTTCTTATTTTTCCTATCCCCAGTCCCCGCGCTTGGAACCCTTAAGCAGACCACGCATACACGCATCCGCCTCATCACAAACCCTTCTTTTTTGTCTACTCTCATCAGCGTCATAAGCGTCATCGTCTGTAGGTGCTTTGCTGTTGCTGAGTGTTTGCTGTTTTGTGGTTGTGCTGCTTTACTACAGTCTACTACTACTACTGCAGCAGCATCCGTCCCACCCTCCTCCTTCCCAGTAAAAAAAGAAGCAAAAAATATTTCCCCGAACATCGGGGGCCAGCGATCGGTAGACCTACAAATCCAACACACGCCCCCCCTCTGTTCTTCTGCCCACCCCCCCCCCCCCTCCCACACCCTCACCATTTTTGTCCCCTTTCCCACAAGCCTCTGACACCGCGCCTGGCTACATATAACCCCGCGGACGCCGTCTCCAACTTTTTTTTCTCCACACTATTTACTCGCGTCCGTCATCGCTTCATCACCACCACCCACTACAACTACCTCCGCAATAACCTTCCCCCACACAACCATAACTAGCATCAATCAACAACAATAACAACAAAAAAAAACCCCCCATCGTCAATCACATGCAACGACCCGGCTCTAACAATATTTCTTCCCTCTCAGCCCTCCTCCTCCAATCTCCTCAACAATCCTCAATACCTCAGTCCATGTCTTTTCACGACGATAGAAATCATCAGATGGGGCTAAATAGTCTTTTACCCCCTCTTGGTAGTCTCTCTCAACAGGATGCAATGCAAGATGGACGACCTGAATTGCCTAGACCTTATAAGTGCCCTCTATGTGACAAGGCATTCCATCGGTTAGAGCATCAGACTAGACACATACGTACTCACACTGGGGAGAAGCCTCATGGTTGCAACTTTCCTGGGTGCTCAAAGCGGTTCAGCCGTTCTGATGAGCTTACAAGACACTCTCGAATCCATACAAACCCTAACTCTCGAAGAAGCAACAAGAACCAGCAAGCTGCCCTTGCTGCTGCTGCTCAGGCACAGCACGATGGTTCAGCTATCTCCACAACTGGTAAGATGATGCCGCCTCCACCGAAAATCATTTCAAAATCGGCTCCTCCATCCCACGTGGGCTCTCCCAATGTCTCGCCCCCTCACTCATATCATGGAATGCACGCACCATCAATCCATTCGGGGCTATCGCCTTTTGGAAGGGCCTCGAGCAGTCCTTCCCTCGGTGGGATGAGTAACCAGCAGGGAAACTCTGGGTTGGATCTGAGCATGTTGGCCCACACTGCTTCCCAGCAACTGGAGCGTGAGAGGCATTATTATCCTCAGCAGCACAATAACTATTACGGAAGCCGTCCCGCACTTCCGGCGCTGTCTCATGGCACCCAGCCGATGTCTCGGTCTCACTCACACGAGGATGATGATCCGTACATATCTCATCGCTCAGTCAAAAAATCTCGCCCTAGTTCCCCGGTCTCAACTGCGCCCTCATCACCCACTTTCTCCCATGATTCATGTTCTCCTACACCCGAGAGCACCCCGCTTGCTACTCCAGCACATTCTCCTCGACTATACCCACGCGACCGCGACCTCGAGTACAACATGCAGCTGCCCAGCATCCGGCACTTATCATTGAGACACATGCCTGCTCTTGCGCCCATGGAGGTGGCTGATCCCTACAATGCGGGAAGCCCTCCCGTTCAGTCTGCACATCAGACAAAGGGACTCAGGCTGGGTGATATCATCAATCGTCCTGACGGTGCTCAGAGGAAGCTCCCAGTTCCCAGAGTTCACGTTCATGATCTTCTCAATAACACTTCCAGCATGGGATACTCATCAACTTCATCGTCGACGTCAAATTCGATAGCCGGAGGGGATTTAGCCGACAGGATGTAATTAGCGATTTTCTTTTCTGGAAATGGTGCGGAATTTTTTCTTGGGGTTCGGACGGCGAATATCTTTATCTATATTTTTTTCTTTTCTCTTTTTTTTTCTTTACACTGTTATTATTAGAGGGATTATGATTGGGATAAACCATGAATGGAACTTTTGGGCGTTTGTTTCTGGGACATGGAAATTTCTTTTTTTATTTTATTTTTTTTTATTTTTAAACTCCCCATCTCCACTGTCATCACACACTACTACACATTTTTATTTCATTTGTCTTTTCTTGTCTATGATTTTTTTGGGGTGGACACCTTATAGAAGACCCTAGAGGTCGTTTTTGTCAGAGCTTTTATACAGAAGTACCAATATTGTTTATTCTGAAAGAGACGGAGTGCCGGAGAAAAGGAATCATGTATTTCTATGTTAGTTTCCAACGAGATCCCATTCTCGAGTAGTGTAGACGGTTTTAATTTTATTAGAGCCTCGCCTTGAGTTGTACAACTCGGGTTACCAAAACCAAACTCGCCCCGGAGTCTTCATGCACTACTTATCTTACTCTCGGAATAGATATGGGAAGTAGATTAAATCGCGATCAGTCCACTCTACTTCCTTGGCTCGCCGGCTCTCGGGAACCCCACATATGTACCCATTACCTTTAGGGGGGGGGGGGGGGGAGGGGAACTCGGGAGAATGACCGGAAGAACAGATGGCCCTTGCAGCCACCCGCGTCCTACATCTAACTACCGAAAGATGTAGCCATCAAACTCAGATCCATTGACAGAATCAAGTACTACAATCCCATCTTGAAGTTGGAGTGGGGAGCGATGAAAGTGGTGACAATCGTTAAACAGGATCCAGGTAGGTATTACGACTTCCTGCAGAATGAAAAAGGGGTGATAGTACTCCAGGGTACCTATATGGGGGAGGGGTGAGGTGAGGTGAGGTAGGAAGTGAGGAGAGCTGGCTGCTTTCAAGCAAGACAGTACATAACATAACAGCACTGTGCTTCAGCTTGGGAATTCTCTTATCTTGTCCCACAACTCAAGGGAACATGTTGCATGTTCGATCGTGTTCTTTTTTGATACATCGCACCAAGGAGAAGTCCAATCCTATCAGCAGCCCCCACTGGGTCACCACCATTCCTCCCTTAACCCCCCATGAGGAAACCCCACAGAAACCCCAAATTTTGTTGCCCATGGTCGAATATAGCCGGACTTCTGTAAAAAAATAACCGGATTACATATGTCATTGACGACGAACCAAACCGATGGAGAAGCAGAGAAAATCGATGCGGATGAATATGTGGGCTTGCAGTTTCCGAAAGGGTGAAACTCACAATCCGGGGCTTCGCTGGCGCTTACTTTTCCATAAATCCATGTTTGTTACTTCCTCGAGTAGCTACCCCAGACTTTTTTTTGTGTTCATTCAGCAGGTACCTTTTCATGCCTCTTGCTTCTCCAGCTTTGGGAAACTTACCCCATGTCACCCAAAGCTGATGTCGACGGCCGTTCTCGGAAATGGATAAGGAAAAGAGGAACAATGGGGGTGTTTTCCAACCGCTCAGATAAGTTATGTGGGAGGCCGCGTTGCCAATTTGGATCAGTGCAAGCGTTCCATGTGCCAGATCAAGCAGCTTTCTCACAGCTCCGTTTCACAGCAACGACCTCCCCAATGCATGGTAGTGGGGGGGGGAGGGGAGGCAAGGCGATTTGATATTCGCTTTCTCACCCCCATTCCTTAAAGTTCCAACTCTAAAGAGATTTACGGAGGCAGCGAATGCACGGTTCCCATCAGATTGTGGTCGGCCGGCGGAGCGTCGCCCCGAATCTCCGTCCTGATTTCGAGAACGCAAGGTAGAATATTGTTCTCCAGAAAATACTCCATGCCTGCCTGACCCCCGGATCGCCGCAGCGGGTGTAGGTTATATTACGACCCCAACACCTTGGAGTCGAACTTCTCATCATGGAATATGTATTGGGCGATCATTGACGCGGGGGATAGTAGGGAAATGTTCCTAGCTTCCCCGTGTCCTCTTATATTAAATTGTCTGGACAACTCGATTTGTTTATTTCCGGCGTTTTGTACACAGCGAGGGTGGGTGCGGTTATGCACAAGAGTTCCCCGGGAAATGGTCAATTAAGTACTTTATATCGCGTGATTCTCAACTACTAGCATAGGAACCACAAGCTTTCGACCTGTACTTTCTGGCTCTTCCCCAGATGATGGTGATCGGAGTTCTTCACTTGATCTGCCGACTTGAAATCTGCCGATGTCACTGGAATCTCATCTAAATATTTGGAGTGTGGGCATGGTTTTGAAATTGTTGATATATCTTGTAACTACTAGTGACTCTTGCCTGGCTAGCTGCTGGTACCCCTCCGAAGGAAGTATCAAATATAGGGCCGCACATAAGATCATGCGTGTTCAGTTTATATCCCAAGCCGAATAGAAACCTTACCCTGTAATGAAGTCCTTGTACTGCACTTTTCTGCGGTCGGTATCCGGAGCATTCAAGGGACCCCTTTGCAAAGAATGGGTCTTCATGGCCTAGTTCCTACCTACATGGCGGGCTAATATGTATCGACAGCGGGAATTGTAGATCACATTTCCTCCCTTTGGAATGGGGTACAATGTAATGTACATACTACACATACTACAATATACTCTAGAATGAAGTGGCCCAAAAGTACGGCCGGTATTAAAATTCTATGCAGACCAGCGAAGCAAAGTTCCCGGCCGAAACCCAGCCAAGTAAATTATGTAGTCAGGAAGTTATCGGGTTGAACCTTGAACGTTGGGCCGATCATAGAGACATACTCATGTGTATGTACCTATATCAAACATAATTTGACAACCTTATCTAGGTATTTTATTGTCAACGTTTTCTGTCTATGTACCTATATACAGTATGTCTAGGTAACTCTGACCAATACCGATTGACCACTATATCGAAAGAAGTCTTGACTATCAATGTTGTATCGTACACAAGACAGACAACGTCTTTTTATCTTTGTGCAACAGTCCAAAACCCTAGACTGTGCTCTGGGATGTCTCGTGTCTCGCGAAAAAAAGCAACGACACGATTCATCGGGAAAGGCATTGGAATCGCACTCGATTCCATCCATCATGATCAAGCAGACCGAGACGGCGGGAACTTAAGTTCGCTGGTCCCTGCGGGGGTGAGTTTGATGGATGGCTGCGTGCGCCGTGGAAGAGGAACTCCTGGTATTGAAAAGTTACTGGAGGATAAATCTGATCTCTTCGATGAATGGCATGGCTGATACAAAGTTTTTTCTATAATTCCTTTTCCCGCTTCCCCCCTCCTTACCCCTTTCCCCTCATTTTTTTTTTTTTTTTTTAACTTGAAGCCCACTCACCCCGAGTGATGTTGATGAGCCAGTGGTGGTTTACTTTTTTTCCCCCACCTCAAGGAATAGGTATCTCTCCACATGCTACTTCGTGGCCTTTCACACACCCCCCGCCTTCCTGTTTCTTCCTCATCTGCACGTTGCGGGGGTTGGCCTTGCGTGCTGGGTCGGTCGGAATCAGTTACCTATCGTAACCAAAATTAGGTAGTCGTATCCTAAATCTTACTTCGAAAAAAAAAAGCCTTTGCTGTCAGGAGTTGTTGCCGCTTTGTATCTGCGGAGCAGTACCTACATGTAGTCTCTAACATGTACTCTAGAGTTGGTTTATAGAGTAAGGTAAAGTACATACTTTAGAGTACTCGTATTTCTCTGACGTTTGTGGACGCGACTGATATTGCATGCCATACAAAAATACGCCAAGCTCATGATTTTGGGTGTATGCAATAATGGCCCAGTTCAAAAACGTCAGAGAAATACTAGTACATACAGTTGAGGCTGCAGCTAATCCCAGCCATTGAGCTACTGCACGCTGGGGAACGAAAAAGAAGGAAGGAAGAGTGAAAAGAAAGAAAAAAGAAGCCCACCGCGCCGTGAAAGCGTTTCTAGCGTCCTAAACTTTTTTCGTGCAAAATTGACGATACCTAGTGTAGGAATTGTTCACACACGCACGCACACATGCTATCCGGCTATCAGTTGGGTGTTCTATCATTTGGTAATCTTCATTCGACGCATCGGAGAGAGGACACCTCGAGAGGGGAGACATTTTTGCTTATTTCGTCCCAGAAAACGACTTGTCGACGTCGCCAGCTGTCAGTCAGTGTTTGCTCTCATCCACAATTACCACAACAATGCTCTATCAGCTCAGTCAATTTCCGTGACTTATTGGCGTTTCCCCATGATGGATGGCCGCGCCCATGTGACACGAAGCCATAAGGCGGAGTACGCACCGAAAGATACAAATGTAGATGCAGGAAGAGGGTTAAAGTCAAAACAAAAACGAGGGGTAATGACGAAATGTTGATATTCGATATGAGAATCCTATTGCTCTGGAAAAAGTCGGACGGTAAATACTGATAACTTTTTCCCCCGCTCTGGAGTATGATGTCGTCAGATATCTCATAATTATTTTTTCTTCCCGTGGCATCAAGGGTTCAATCAAGGGTCTCGTTCCTCTGCGCTGACGTATGATGTCTATCGTACGTTCGTCCATAGCAACCATAGCAACGCGAATAGGATAGATAGACACCTATCGTCACACCAACTCACAAGTCACGAACCACAAAATAGAGAAAGGAAACCTCACCCCCCCCACCTTCATCGAATACTTCCCCCCCCCCCCCCCCTGCTCCCCAACCTTGTGGAGAACCTGGGGGTTGGGCGTCTGTATCTACGGTAATAACTGATCCGACAGTACCCCACGATTCGAATCACACCAAATCTCAGTGTTTCCGATGCCCCGCAATTGATCCCTCAGGAGGTACACCACGAGACACAACATCATCATCACAATATATCTCCATGTTTGGAATGGAGGCCTATCGCGCGTGTAGTTCATAGGGGCGAGGATACCACGTTCACCTGACTTGATATTACTCCCCCCTTCTGCCTATCCCGAGGGCGCGGTGAGAGAAACGATATGGAGATGAGCCGGAGGAGGAGGAGGCTCGGCGGAGAGAAAGAATAATATGAGACAGGAATAGGCATCTATGATATCAAGTCACACCACATCACATCCTCCTCTTTTCCCGGCTATTGTTATTGATGGATGGTGTTGCCGTGCTGGCGCAGACTTATGATGATGACGAGTATGACTTGAGGGGCGCGCCTGTCTGCACCAACTCCGAGTTCTCTTCGTCACAAAACCCCGTCCAAAAAAGAAAAATAAGGGAAAATGTCTTCTTCACCTTGACCACACCCACAAGCAAATATTCTCCAAATACCCCGCCTCTTGAGCCCCACGTTCCAGCTTCAAGATAAGCTTCTTTACCGCCAAGATTGCAAGCGAACTGTCGATCCAGGGTCCTTTTCCTGAATAAGCATAGCCTTGCGGATCCACTGCGCAACGGCATCCGATATTGGGCTTTGCGGTCCGGTTTGATTATCAAGTGGTCTACATAACCTCCCACCACCGCCGGCAGATGCTCGGCCGGAAACTGAACGAGAAAACGGATATGATGGCCTGGGGGCGCTCCCAAAAATGAAATAGGATGAGGATGGAATGGACGTTACGTACATTGGCAAAAGAAGCCCTTGCGCAGGGCCCATGGCCAACAAAAAGGAAAAGCAAACGTTTGATGCACAAGAAGTAGCGGAACCAATCATTGACGTTGGGTAACGATAAGGCAAATATTGGACGGGGGACAAATTAAATCCCAGTGATGCCTACGAAATGTTTACCTGCTTGATTCGCAATCCGAAACACATCCCCTCCCTCTCCTCTCACCGATTGAAGGCATATATATACCGCTCTTCGGAAATTATTCTTCAAAAACCCGAATTTTTTTCAATGAAACCCTAACCCTATAAACTACCTTACGTGGCAGGTAGATATGTGAGTCTCAGTGCGGCAGCCCGCTATTTTCTTTTTATTTTTTTATTTTTTTTCGTTGCTCTTGCCGCTTTGGGTCAGCAAACCTCCAGCATCATGTCTGAGCGTCGAACGTCGTGGGGTTCAGTCCCCGAAAAGTGTTTGATGAACATCATAAGAAGAAACAGACAGAGGTGAAGGAAATGCCTACTGATTGGAAAGCACAGGCCAGCTCATCGATCTCATCCCAGCAACTTAATCTCCGGCAACATATCCGGCAGGTCAACCCTAGTCTATGGCAGGATAAGTAATCAGTTTAAGAAGAGAGAGGAAACAAAAAGGTTTTTTTTTTCTTTCTTTTTTTTCCTTATTTATATTTTCGTGGAAAAGTATATGCAATAGACAAATCTTGGTCGATCTCGTTCCTCTTGTGAACATTTCCGGTCCCACCCTTTCCCCCATGAATGGCAAAAATAGAAACTCTGCATAGAGAGTGGGATGGGGAGATATGAATCATTTCCTGTGTTGCCACAGCATTCAAAACCAGTCTACAGGATGGGTCTGAAGATCTTCTTGTAGCAGTAGCAGTAGCAACCTAACAAGGCGTCCGTGAACAGGCAGACAGGATAGGGTCTGTGTGTACTGCAGGAAGTTCACTGCACACACAAAAAAGACTTATCATCTCCTCATAGGGAGATATAACCAACCGAAAGATCACCAACATGACCGAGTGCTCATTAATGCCCTTTTCCTTTCTATTCTCCATGTTTTATTTCCTGACCGCCCACTATATCCATCCGGCCGGTCCCCCCTAAGCTGAGACAGAAGGTCCACGGCTTTTACTGTGGGGGGAGGGGGTTTTGGTTTAACAAGCACAGCATTTCATCTATCTATCCACCATATCAGATAATGGTTGCGGCCGGCCAGCAGACAACCCCTCCCCCCCATTCCCCGCCCCCGGGGAGAAAGCGGGAGGGGAAGCCTTACGACTTGTTTATTATTTTGCAACATCTAATGGGTTTTTCTCACAAGGGTATCGTGTCGCCGGGGCGGCCCGGCATTGAAACGCCTGACAGGACCCCCAAACTGACAGCGAGCGAAGGGGGTGCGGGGGGCATGGTACAGCATTGATGTTCTGACGGGATGCTTAGGCTTCTCGGTGTCAGCAGTGAAGTTAGAGTACGCGCGCTGTCTGTTGTCAAGTGTCAGAGTCATTGCTGTCTGCCCCACAGTTCATAAGTCGTCAGTGATATAGACAGCGCGGCAGGTTACACGTACGACAGTAGAGTGGCTGTGAACCAGTGCGCAGTGTGGAGTGCGGCGTGGCCGCGGCTCTATGCTTACTCGACGCAGTAACATACTCGCGACCAGCAACAAGAACCCGAAAATGCACGTCCTAATCTGCAATTTCCATTGGGGTAGAAGTCAAAAATACACCAAAGACTTGCAGCTGCATATTCGGGTTCTTGTTGCTGGTCGCGAGTAGAGTACAGACAAGCACAAGCAAGCCATCATGTATGCGCTCTGACGGGCCGATAGTTCCTACTCTTCCTTTTTAACCAACGCCCCGCGGTATGTACATTATTTACATACGCAATCACGTGTGGTTCCCCCCCTTCCATTCTTCCATTCTTCCTTTCTCTTCGAGAATCTTTGGTGTACATGTATGTACAGTGCGGTACTTGGGAGGTACCTTACATGAGAGTATAGGCAGGTACCTACATATAATGTAGGTATAGTGGAGTACTTGTTACCTGTTTCTGTTTCTTCCTTGCCTACGTGAAACCATAGAGGAAGGTATCGTGCTGTTGTAGAACACTCATATAGCCTGTACTATTATATTATTCATTATTACTCCCCACGCCAAGACGTTCTAGAACAATGTAGTCCACCTCGGCCATCACCTCGCGAGCTACAGACATATGAGATCCTGAAGCTTTCGTGATATTAGCCAATATCACACTCTTTACCTGTTACTTATGTTACGACGACGGCGACGACGACGATGATGCCTAACCTGCCATTGTAGGTATGTACCCCGTACCCCACGGCTGGAGCAGCTCAGTGGAGGGAGGATACATCTGATATTACCACCAACATGACAGGCAGTATGTACCAATTACCTATATGTATCCATCCCAACCTAGCCCACCCATACTGCAACTGTTACCATGGAGACAGCCTGCAATAAGCAAGCTCGGCACTTTTACTCCTATCCCAGAGATCCCACTACAGTCGTCCACAGGGTGAGGACGAACACTGGGTGTAGACGAACAAGGATTTTTGGACAAATAGAAAGATCACTTGGGCAGCTTGGCTGTTTCTTGCCATATTGAGAACCCTGGTTCGTCTTCACCCAGTGTTCGTCCTCACCCTGTGAACGACTGTAGTTATTACCTAGCTACCATATGTAGCTCGGCCTTTGGCACCACATTTCCCCCGAACCCCATATGCGCCCCAGCCTGGGATTGGTGGGGGTCGGGTATGGGGTTTATTCCCCGAGTCTGGGGCTGGGGCTGGGGCGTGGGCGTGGGCGTGGGCGTGGGCGTGGGCGTGGGCGGCGTGGGTGCGTGGGTTGGTAGGGTAGGGGGTCCGGGGGGTGGGAAATGGGAAATTACGGGTAGGTAAAGTAGATCGAATAGGTGGTTGAGTTCTTGATATTGGGCTGGCTGTCTATGGCTATGGCCGTGGCTATGGCCATACCCCTAGCTAGCTACACTTCCTGCTCCGACGTCCCATTTGTTCCTTGATTTCCTTGGATATCGATAATAGGAAAAAAGGGGAGGGAGGGAGCGAGTCATCATCTGTGATGCTAGCTAGCTACATACTCTAGCTAATGTGAGTGCGGGAACGATCGCACGGCAGCAGGGTAGGGGCCGGGTGAATGGGAGATGACCATGGGAGAGCGGGTAAAATCTATTTTTTTTCTGCCTCTTTTTTTTTCTTTTTCTTTCTTTGCTCGAGAGGGGAGAGGGGGTGAGGGAGGGAGTGAGGTCATAGTGGTGTATTCTACTGGTGATGGCAGGGCATGGCAGGGCGGTGTAGAAGAGTGGTATAGAGTGGGTAGGTAGAGTGGTGGAAATACAGGTATTCTAGCTAGCTAGTAGGAGATATCTAGGCACCCGCTGCTCTACACGTGTATATCCAAGAGACCGCACTGGCTGGCTTCCACTCTGGAATAGGTACTCTACCCACTCCACTCCTCTACTGACCGACCGCCGCCCACCCACCCTCCATCTCGCCACTTGTGGTGCCATCATCCAGCATCATATCCCTCTCACCTCCATATCCCCCCCCCCCCCCCAGTACCTGTCTGCCTTGTTCCGGGGTGAGAGAAAGGGGGTGGGTTGTGGTAGAGTCCCCGGTTCAGATTCCAGCGATCTGGCCGATTCAAAACAACCCAAACAGTAGAGGAGAGATATCTTGAGCCTGTGTATTTATCCGGCCTGCTCTTCGGCCGGCCGAAGATGCTCCGAAATCCCTCCCCCTCGTTGTGTGTTCTGTTCGGCGACCGGCCGAAGAGGAGCTGAGCTCCTCCTGGAATGGAATTGGGAGGTTACTATTCTTGACGGTGGCCGGCCGGCGCGCCTATCTTTGTTGTTGTTGGTGTTTGGGGGTTATAGTGATATGGGGAGTGATATGGGGAGGGAGTACGAGGTGAGCCCCCACGAGAGATTAGATATCCCACTCTCTAGCTGGGTAGGTAGCGGGAATTACTTTAGTTTACGAGGTAGGGAGGTAGCGAGAGAAAGTCTTATCTCGACAGCCAGAGGGAAAGAGTCTAACTGTACCGTGGGGTAATGGGAATGGGGTACCTATTCTCTACTACTACTGTGCTGAAACCCGCAGGCCCGTGCTAGAGCTTGATTGCGGGATTAGGGGTTCAGGTAAAGTAGAGGTTACGGGTGGTAAAGTACCTAGAGGAGTGGTTGATATCAACCGGCGGCGGCGCGGCGGATACTGGCAGTGAGCACTAACCTTTGTAGCTACGATGATACTCTGCAATAATTGGATTACTGGCCGTGGAAGCGCTTGAGCAGCTCGCCTGTTAACTCGCTCGCCATAGATAGCTGGGGTTTGTAGCTAGTAATCAAATAAAGCAAAACCAGCAAATCAGAGCAAATCACACCAGCAGCTCGGAGAAGCTCGTGAACAGCCATAGATAGGCAATCAATCCCCACCACCACCTCGCTCTACCCCGGGCCGGCGGCCACGGCCACGACAGGAACGGTGTCAGAGGATTTGCAAACCGAAACCGAAACGAAACGACGGGGCCCTCGGTTTGGTCTGGTCTGCGCGGTTTTTTCGGAAAAACATGTGTATGTGTGTGTGCTGAGCGCATTAGGAAAATAAAAATTCTCAGCCGCACGCGCAGGAAGGTGAGGTGAGGGAGACTAAAGGTGTACCTGCATGGCGGAGTACCGGGTAGAAAGTCGAGAGAAGCACAACCCAAACCTACCACAAAAACCCACAACCGCAACCGCAGCCGCAGCCGGCAGAATACATAGAACAAAATTCTAAATCTACAAATCGTAAACAGCAATCAAACCCCTGCAAGATACGAAATCGTAGATGGAGAGCTCGAAGCCCGATATACAACGACCTCCGCCGACCAACCGACCAACCAAACACTCTCCATCCGTCCACCTACCCATCCACCCCTAACCTCGGCGGCCAGCCGGACGAAAAAGCAACGGGCAACCCTCTTCCCCATTCTTCTCCTTCTCCGCCCGAGCAACATCACCCACCGCATCTCCGACCGGGCAAAAGGAAACACCCTCCTCGGGACCCCCGGGGAGGATAGCGGAAAACCCCATAGCAGGGATGTGTAGGTTTTTCCCCCCGGCCCCCCCCGCACGCGTTCCGGGGGTTGTACCGTACTGGTCTTAGAGGCTTGGGTGTGCGTAGAAGCGTGTTCTAGAAGACGGTATGGCTACGGTATGGCTACGTAGGCCTAGCCTCGCCATACTGTCTGTCTGTCTACCTACCTACATCTATTCTCTGCGTGCAGCAGGAAAAAAGAAAAAAATCAGGTATACACACACGGCGAGAACAGCGACTCTGATTTAAGTGTATATTTGCCAGACCAGGGGCGCGGAAAAACATTTTCCCCCCGGACCCTGAGCCGGAGGCATGCTGTCTAGCTATGGATGTGGAGATGAGAGCTAGCCCCCGCAATGCTACTCCGGGGAAGGGAGGCAAATTAGATTTTACGGGCAAGACAGAAAGAGAGACACCTTGCGGGCCGGTATTTGATGGGGAGTGGGGAGTGGGAAGGACCCTGGAGCTAGCTACATGTAGCTATGGAGCTAGGGAGGGAGTGAAATTAGAAAAAAAGCTGGGGAAAGGAACAAAGAGCTTTCTCCCCGATATTGGGAGGTAGGGCTTCGGGGAGCTTTTCCGGGGAAAATTGGTTTAGGATCTAGAGCTTTGAGATTTTGAGGTTGAGTAGACCGGAAGAGTGCTTCCCCGCAAAATAATGTCAATTGGAGAGCGGAGTAGAGTGGAGTACATAGATGGAGGTATGTGTACTGGGCATCGGGTTCTAGGTACGGTATAGCAGGTATAGCTAGCTAGCTACATGGTCTACGCCTTATGCTTATGGAAAGTAGATACCCTACGGTACCACATATCTACATACCAGATACATACATCTACACATATCTATTATCGGGTATCAAAAATAACCGATCACCTCACGACAACGTCGAAATCACTTCAGGTCAGAATAACTCAACAACCAGGAGAGCAATTGAGTAATTTTAAGTCTCCTAAACAGAGTTAGGTGCTTGAGGGGAATGGAATTACCCTTCTGACCTCGAAAGTCTCGATGTGAGGTTTCTTCGCAGGTCGGTTTTGGTTGCTATGGGTCTCACGAGGGTGCCAGTGATCGGTTATTTTTGATACCCGACAATACATTTACGGCAAGAACAGCGGCGCTCAAATAGCCAGGTAAGATCGAAGGCAGGAGGCCAGATGTCTCTCTACAACCAACAATCGACAATCATCAACAGCTCAGCAATCCCCAAATCCCCAAATCCCCATTACCGTTGACCCGGAAAAATCTTTTATCCCCCCCTCCTCTCCAACCAACCCGACCTCCCCCAGTGATAATATCAATGTAACCACCGGGCAAGCCTCCGCACTTACTGCGTATTGTAAAGCATAAGTCATCCTGCCATCATACATGTGCAAATCTCACTGTAACCACAGCACATCTCACTGTAACCGCATAACTACATGTATCTCACTGTAACCGCATATCTCACGTAACCACAGTAAGCTGACAACTTGATCATTGCCACCCACCCACCCACCACCACAACCAATGATCAAAGTGCAACAAAGCCGCCGCCGCCGTGCCGTAGCCGCGACCGCGGACACGGAGGTGGTTGCATCGACGGCGCGGTGGGGGCGGAGTGTGGGATGTGGGATATACATATGTACTTTATGCGCGTTTTTAATTTGTGGCGGGATGGGGCGGAGAATAATATGTACCCCACGCCGGACTGGACGGGAAGCTGGGCTGCAGGGGAGAAAGCGAGATGGGGATTTAAGCGACTTTTTGATATGAAATGTAGGTAGCCCGGAAGTAGGTACTCGTAGCTTTATAGCGTTTCCGAACACGACCAATATTGCATGACATACGAAAAAGCGCCAAATCCACCTTTTTGTATATCATGCAATATTGGTCGTGTTCGGAAACGCTATAAAGCTACGAGTAGTGGTGGAGGATGAGATGTCTCGGAGGTGCCGGATTCGTTTCGTGGGGTTGCGGTGAGGTAATTTCGGTCTCGTGAAGCGGCGGGTGTGTAGTGTGGTAGGGAATGTAGTTTGGAACTCTCCTGCAACACTTAATAATAGATTTTGAGGAGAGTGTAGAGTACAAGTGAAATAAAGTTTTACGCAGTTACCGGAAACGTGGTAGTTTCAACGGCTGCTGGTCGTTTCTTAGTGGCCCAGGATAACTGAACTAGTGGGTCGAGTGATTGTCTATGTTTTTAGAATGTCTACTGCATCATGCCATGTCATGCCATACTGCTCGCTCGGTCATTACAATTAATAGACCCTCCCCATCCCTAGCACTGAAAAAAACGCCATGTACAGAAAAAATTAAACTTTTGCACCCCAGCTTCTATCATCATCATCTACCCCCATAATACACAAAGTCAAACAATTAGCCAACAGCATATAAAAAAGTCACCCGCATTAAAAAAAATATCAAACACAAATATAATCACGAGAACAAAGGAATATACAAATGCTCGCCAGTCTCCACGATGCCCAGCTTCTCGCCGACTCTGAGCACGCTCCGCTCGTCCGCGGGCACGAGCTGCATGCCCAGACATGCATTCTTCGGCGACCCTGCGTCAATGTTGCGGTACGAGCGCATGGTTTTGTCGGGTTCTTGCATGTGTTTCTCTCCGGTGTCCTGGTTGACGTTTGGGAGGCGGCATCGGACCGTACGTGCAGCTGTGGTGGTGGTTTGTATTAGAATATGCCTACTACTAATAAACAAAGGGAGAAGGGTTAGATGGGTGGCTAGGGGGTAGACGCTTACCAGCGTAGTACATCTTTCCTCCAAACGTAATCTTCTTCCAATCATCCTCTGAGAATGCTTTAGGTCCCGAAACTGCAGTAAAGCGTTAGTTAGTTGGTTGGCTTGGCCCAGATATCAATGATCACCAATGTCAGAAAATGGAACTGGGGGGAGGGAAAAAAAAAAAAAAGAAAAAAAGGAAACATACCAACGATATTAGCGCGAAAGCGCTTCACGCTAAGATCTGGGATCTTGTCTGTAATCTTGCTATTTAGTTCCCGCACCGAAGCCAGGTTGAGCATATGCACTGGATACTGTAAAAAAAAATTGGAGTAAATCCGCTAGTCAGTGAAATTGTAAATCTCGACGTGTGTGGTGTGGCCCCATATTCCTGCATAATGTACACACATAGTGTGGGGGTCATATAGGGGAGTAGAATAGACAATATCGGGACATACCGCATCCGCAAACCCAACCACACTCTGGAAGCCCAACTCCTCCTTCCTCGGCGCGTTCCTGTACACCTCCCTCAACCGCTCCTCGCAGGTCCTAAAGAGCCTGACCTCCCCCTTCGCGCCGAGGAAGGCCGCGAGCTCCTTCAGCTCGCTCTGGATCACACTGCTGACGTCGTATGCCTCGGGGGTGCATTTCCAGATCTTTACATTGACGAGAGGGAATCTTGCCATGACATCCTTGCTGCCCGACAGCGGCAGCTGGAATGTCCTCGTGTCCGTACCCGCTGGGAGCAGTGACAGCGGCAATGGGCGCGGCGTGGCTGTGAGGGGGAATGTGATGCTCAAGGTCCCGCCGGTGGGGGACTTGGGCTGCGTGTGGATGGTGGGTGTGATGAGCGCCATTTGCGGGTATTGGCGCTGCGTGATGAAGTTCCATTCCGGGGCGCCAGTGCGCGGGTAGGGCCGGAGTTCGGCGAACATCTGTGGGGTGCAGGGCGAGTTAGAAATGGGCTGACATTTTGTTGACTGGGGTGGGGGCGCCCCGTGGGATTGCCGCGGGGTGCGGGGGTGGGCACGGGGTTGGTTGTTGGACATGGGGCTTTCTTTTGAGGGGGAGGGTCATCTCTTTTTTTTTTTTTCGTTATTTATATTGGGAAGGGAAAAGTGCCGCGTGAGAAATCATGAAACAGCATTTGTTGGTGCCGCGTAAGGCGATACATGCGGTCTTGGAGGCATTGTTTTGGGTATTGGGGGTAGAAGAAGCAAATTTTAAAAGCAAATATATAAAATGCAAGTGTAAAATGTAGACAAGTATGTAGTTTCGTGATTTCTTCACAAAGTGCGCGGAAAATTATATATGCCGGGGCAGTAAAAGTAAAGTAATTGAAAAGCAATCCAAATGGAGGCTTCCTTACGAATTGGCGGTCATGCTCAAAACTATCACAACAAGCGGTAGTTAGCTTTTACACTTCATTCTTTCGTCTTTACCGGGGGGGGGGGGGGGGTGCAAAACAAAAAGTATAAAAAAAGAAAGCAAGACAAAACAAAAAAAAAATTTACCTACCCAGTAGGCACTACATTCACCTCATCCACCTCGACCCCTCTGCAACTCTTTACGGGGTATATCCACAGGCTCTTGACCTTCCAATCCTCATCTCCGTCCGGGCCATACTGAAACTCATCTGCAAGGTTGCTTTTCTCCGGACCCAACCCCATCTTCTCGCCCTTTGGCTCGACGTCTGCCGCTCTGAGCAACCGGGTGAACACCAGCCAGCTGATGACCGCCGCGGCACCTGACATGAGGAATTGCTGCAGTGACGAGGCTGCCACGGTGGGGGGAAGTTCCACGGCCATGGTGAGCGAGAGAGAGGGTGATAGTGTGATTCGATGTCTCACGACGGCCGAGAGCGGGAGTCTGGTTTCTTTCTGAAAGGAAAAAGATGTACAAGTATGTATGTACGGTACCGCGTGTGTGTTGAACCGGGGTAGGTAACGAAAAAAAAAAAAAAAAAAAAAGGTGACGGTGGGATCGCTGATCGTAACCCTGTGACTGTTGAAAGAGAGGGATGTGAATCGAAGAGATGTACAAAAAAAACAAAACGTGTGCGTGAATGCGCACCCCGAGTGACGATGGTAGGACGTTGTTAGAACGATAGTAGACGCAATAGTGCGATAGTTTCTTCACGGAAAACCCCTTCCACTCAGTCAGTGCATGCACGTTACTAGTACCTTCTATTGTTTATGAACCGGGGTACTTTTTCTCTCCACGAATAGGTGCGTAGCGGGTGGTGAATTCTCTGCAGGTACGATTAAACTGTGGGATGAGCTGTTTCGAATGAGAATCCCGGCAGAGGGGAGGAGGAATAGGAGGAGGAGAGCTGGGGGGTGGTCGCAGAGTTTTTGAGAGAGCTATGGAACTCAATTATGATCATCATGTCTAAGTGTATTGCAAATTTCTCATCCATTTTAGGTATGGAAAGGGCCTAGGGGAGGGCTGTTGGAAGGGTTGTGTGGAACCCTCTAAAGTCAAAATTTTACTAGCTGCCGGGAACCGTTGAGAGGAAAAAAGGGAGATGCGCAGTCAGGGTTTATGCGGCTCCAATCGTGAGGCTATTCTTTAATTTTCCCCTGGCGATCTCGATAAGGCCATTCTAGAATCCGATTAACGGTTCAGAATCCGATAACCAGAGTATAGTTCGTACATGTACTCTAGGACAGAATAGAACTGAGCACATAGAGCAGGCAGGTACATTTTCAGATAACCTGGTTATGATTTGGCAGAGCAAGAGCTAGAGCCTGGAATAGAGGCTGGAGGGCAAGCATTCGTCTGAACATCGGGATGTCTATCCGTTTGTTTTGCTTTTTGTTTCTGTCCTGTCCCGGTACATGATAGAGTTCCGTTTTTTTTTCTGCCCCTGTACCATTTTCTACCCTTACGGTAGATAGTTTACCTCACGTGTCAAACACTCAACGCGTCTCCCCCCAGCACACACAGCCTGTTAATCGTCCACCGCATCAACATCATCATCATCATCTTCACCAACCACCACATATCACCATAACCACCACACATCATACACACATTACACATTACATCGCACATACCCTACGCATACACATGTGCCCCAGCCCCAGGCCGGTCACTCCAGCCCCCCTCCCCTCTCAAAACGAAACATCAAACACCAAACACCATGGCATCAATCTCGTCTTCTCGTAAGCAGGCATTCATCCATGCAGTGATGATGTTTCCCGCCTTACCTCACAGCGCTCCTTGCAGCTAACACAAACCTCAAATGCCACCCCCTAAACAGATCGTCTGCACTCCATCTCAGCCTCACAAGCCCTGACCACCTCCACCACCTCCCAATCACTCACGATCTCCACCGGCTCCTGCACCCTTGACAGCCACCTCTCCTCAGCCGGACTTCCGCCCAGCAAGGTCCATGAGCTTTGTGGCCCTCCTGGCGCTGGCAAAACCGCAATGGCGTAAGTTGTCAACAATCGCGCACACACACTCCTCCACCCACCCCTCACTCAATGACTAGTTTTTTTTTGACCGGCCGGGTAGGATGCAGATGGCCGCAAATACCCTCCTATCAGGACACCGCGTAACCTGGATCGACACATCACACCCACTCCCGAAACCGAGGCTGCTGTCAATGATTGCTGCGCAGGCACGCCCGGATGAGGACCCACAGGGCTACATGGCATCACTAAAGACCTGGCATGCTAGGTCCCTGCCACACTTGCTGGCGCTGTTCTTGCACCCGCCGCCAGACTCTACATTCCCGCCGGAGGGTACAGGGCTGGTGGTGATCGACAATGTGGGCACGGTGTTCACGGCGGCGTTCCCGCCCGGGAGTGAGGACTTCAACAAGAAGCTGTCGGCCGGCGCCGATAAGCGCGGGTCAGGGTCAGCATCGCCGGGGCCGAAGCAGCCGCCGCGGAAGTTTGCGGTCATGGTGGATCTGGTAAAGGCGCTTGAGCGGCTGGCTGTCACGAGGAAGATAGCGGTACCAATCCCCGCGCCCGCCCGCCCCACCCCGCACCCGCCCCGCGATGCTAAATATGTAGATATAGATACTTGTAATAAACCAAATGACAACCCGCGTAATTGCTGGGGCAAGCGCAATTCTTCAACCGGCTGTCATATCGCCATTGTGGTCTGCGGCTTTATATACAAGACTCTACATCCACCGTAATAGTATATCCCCCCCAAGCTAGCGAATCCCGACTCAGTGCCCATCCAGCAAATCCGCTTCGTCTCAATCCTGAAAGGGAACGGTAAGACCTACCATGACTTTGAAAGCGGAATTGAAGGCAAAGTCGCCATTGTGATCGTGCAGATCCACGACGGTGGTATATCAGACGTGGAGCTCCTGGGCCCTCTCACGCCCGCACCTACACGCCCTACATTAAAAGACAAGAGAGTAGTATTCTCAGAGTCACCTGGTGCAACCCCATCTGCATCTCCCCTAGTCAAACTATCAGAGGAGGCCGACCCCAACCCAGACCCATCCCAGGTATCAGCAATACCCCCAGAGATGCCCACCGCACAGTCACCGCCGCACACATCATCACCCCTATCGCCGCCCCCACCATCGCCCTCCTATTCCGCAGCGTTCACACCCCGGTCGCAGTCGCTGGTGGTGACCGGGTCTCCGGAACCAAAGCGACGGAAAACGGGGTTGGAGTTGGGCGTGGTGCGGGGCAGCGATGAGGAGGACACGGACGAGGACTGGTCTGATGAGGAGGGTGGCTTGGATGATTGCGGGGCGCCGGTAAAAGTGACAGCTGCTGCTGCTGACACGGACGGGGTAAATGGGCTTACGACATTTGATGTTGTGGGGCAGGAGGACGGGAAGGAGGGTAGTTGAGGGGTGACTTATGGGGAGACGCGGGGGAGAGAATCTCATTCAGATTGGGTTTGAAGGAGAAAAATAGTAATGTCAGGCAATAAAAATCATCGGGTGATTGATGATGGCCTGGGAGAGAGAGAGGTGATTTTCGAAATTACGGGGCATCATTAATCATTGACACCCATGTAATCAGGAGTAGTTTGGTGGTTCGTCTTTTCTTCTTTCTCTTTCTCTCTCTCTTTCTTTCTCCCTCGGTAGTTGAGATTGGGTCTGCCGGTTTTGAAGAATTAAAAATAAAATTAAGATTCCTAGTACTTTTTTCAGCTCTCATGTGAAGGGAAAATTAATAAAAAATAGCTTCTGACAGCTGCACGATTAGATGTCGGGTGGGTGAAGAGTTTGGATATGCTTACACCTCACGCCACGGGGAGAAATAATGGCTCTTTGGTATTTATGCATGTCTAGTCGTTTTAGATTGTGTTTCCCCGGGCGCGGGGTCCATTTAGGGCATGCGCATTCGCGGGGAATTAACTTTGTTCCGGAGTAGGTATGTGGTATGTGGGTACGTTTGACAGGCCATACAAGGTATATTCTTATTCAAACACATGTTGTAAGAAAATTCAAGAATTGGGTAGAAAAGGCACATAAAACCCCTTCCTCCTAGCTCCGAGCATATGATGATAATCACGGGCGTCGGGCCGTCCCCGATTTTCCTCTGCGAAAAAGCCTGCCTAGCTAGCTGCCTCATCGGCGTATTCGTAGCCCCGGCCTATGGCACGATAATATTTCTCCACATCTCAACCGTTGAGATATCACCTCATTCTGAGCATGAGGGTTAGCTTATAGCTGCCTGTGGTGATGGATCCGGAATAACAAGTAATTAGCGTGTACCCCCCCCCCCCCTCCCTCCCTCCATTTGCGGTATTAACTCTCCACGATCTCGACCATCGAGCGATCATAGTCCATCGCATATATCGACCGTTTATCTAGCCCTGGGTTTCAGGTTGACGTTTGAAGTTGACTACATACACACTTATATGTAGTTAATCCGGAGGTAACATTTCCACCTTCCCACTAAATATATTACTACATTTACTTAATGCCCCATCACCCCAACCATCCATCTCCATCCCTTGCATGCAGCACGTAACGGCTATTTTGTGAAACCTAGTCCCCCCCCCGGGCCCCGCAGGATAGATCAGATGTTATGGAACGATGTTTCCTCTTCGCTCTGTGTACGTCCCGCTATCCGTAAACCCTGGTCACCGCAAGCCAACGGCCAAGTTTTATGTGTATGTAGGTCCCAACCCCCTCCCCGAGTTTCTCCATCTTATTTTACGGGGGTGGATGGGGGGTGGGGAGGTCCCGACACTGAAAACTACCGGCGGATCACCCACTGTCAAAAACCCCTAACCAAGTTCGCTTAAGAAGGGGTGATGGCCTCGGTAACGTAGTGATCTGGGTCGAGATAAGATTTTAGCGGAAACCCGGGTGGGTTATATAGTTAGCAGGTACATCTATCTGCGCGCGCCCAATTTCATCCCTACTTATCTGTGGGGGCCAGCCAGACTTGCGCAGCCGGGCTTGCGTGCCGGTTGTTCCCCCGTATTCCTGCGGTGAGTGGAGATGAGGGACGGCGGAGAGGGATGGCGGAGAGGTGCGGTGGAGAGGGATGAGGTGGGATGCGTGGAGTAAGATAGAGACCAGGCCAAGAAGTGGGAGAGGGCGAGTGATATTTTGTGCAGATAATTAATTTGGGTGGTGTAGGCATGAAGATCGATGTGTGCTCCTTTCTTTATTGATAATGAATCGTTACACACGTGATGCAGTGTTCCTCCGTCTCTTGCTAGTATCTCCTTAGCTGGATAGAACCGCTGCGAGTGATGGGTAGAATTCAATTCCTGAGTCTAAGTGCTCAATACAGCGGTAGTACTGTTGTCCAGTCCATGGCCACCAACCTGACCCGCCAAGCCCGGGCCTACAATTGGCCGCTCCAGTCAACGTGTTCCTTCGGCGAGCAATCTCTGATATAGATCAAGAGAATACCGGTATAGTTTCTCTCACCATCATAGCTTGCGTGATGCTGGCCAGTCCAGGTCAATGGTTGGCGACATATGCAGCCTTCACCCCCCGAAGAAAGAAAAAAAAAACTTCAATCAAGTTTATTCTTCTGGTACCATCCGGTGATCGTACATCCCTAGTACTTGAGAGGATACTTGGCATCGGTCCGACTCGCTTCTAGTAATCTAGGGCTTGGGGTTGCTGTCTCTACTACGGGGGGTAATGCATCAAATGATGCATTCCTGAAATTCTACAGTAGAGGAAATCAATCAAGTGATGCATTTACTGTCGAGGCTTTTGGTAAATGAATCAGCTGATGCATTTACTTTGACCGGTGATGCATTTACTGTTGCTAATGCCTTTTCTGATGCCTTTCCTGATATCTTTTTCGGATTATTTTCCGGATGCTTTTATGATGCCTTTTATGATGCGTTTCATGACGCATTTCCATGACGCATTTCCATGATGCATTTCTCTCCATATTTGCTGGATATATAGCACTTTTAAATGTCAAAGTTATAACAAATCTTATATGGCTGATATGGCGAAGTGTCAGCTAAGGATCAGGAGTTCACAGGTTCAGATCCCTTTTAAGTCAAATCATATTGTTTCGAGAAATTTGATTTATTTGACACATTTCCGAAGCATTGCCAATGCAATGCCGATTCATTGCCGATTCATTACCAGATGCATTGCCGATTCATTACCAGATGCATTACCAGATGCATTGCCCGTGCATTACCAGATGCATTGCCCGTGCATTACCAGATTCATTGCCCTCCCATTGCCGATTCATTACTAGAAGCATTGCCGATGCCTTACCAGGTATATGCATTACCAGATACATTACCAGATACAAATATAATGGAACACAATTCAAATACATACCCTACACAATTAATCCTTCAGCACATTACCGATGCATTGTGCTAACACAATCTACGGATTCATTTCTCTCCGGTGGTAGAGTGTGCTCATGTGCTCATATATATATTCATAGATGACCCGCCCACAAAAAGTAAAGTGATATATATTCACTTCTTCATGCGTAGAAATTCCCTTTTAATTTTCTTCCATAGGCCATGGCATGAATTGATTCTGTGGTTTGGCCAAAGAAAGGCCCACGCCCCGAGTGGGGGTCGTGACTCATGAACATACATAGTTTTACCTTCATTATCGTAATTTTCCTGTTCGCGGAGGGGCCCCATGCCCGTGGATTATCTGACCACGGGAAGCTTTCATGGTGAGGACCTACCTTCTATAAGTGGGCAACGCTGATAAAGAAATATGATGATGATATTGGAGCTGGATCCTATCCTCATGACGATAGCCTCTATGGGACGAACACTTAAGCATGTTTGGGGGAGAATCATAATAATTCCCTAGTTGGAACGCCTTGCATATTTCTCAGACAAATCTGCTCTGAAATACGGACGACGCGGGTATGCAATATATGTCCACTAAGCCCGATTTGTGCTTTTAATCCTTTGTTGTTCGACTCGCGATACGGCCTATGCCTGTACACGCGATGGGTTTATGCCTTTCGGTCTCGAGTAGGTCTACCTCGAACAAACTTACTTGGACCATCTCCCTTTCTGGCCCTGATACCGCCTATCTAGGCTTTGAACGATGAACTCAAGCGCACTCAATCCATCAATTGGATTGATAGTCATGAATCGTCACTCGCACCAAGCTGATAGTTTATTGTTGAAAGTAGGACGAGTATCAGTTATTATTCAATTGATATCGAGGTCTAAAGCTAATACATGGTGTCTTATACTAGTAGGGTCAGGACAGATCCTTCAAGTGTCCGAGTCCCATTGGACACTGTAACCTTACTGTTTTGAACGACACCTTTCAACACCCCCCCTCGTTCAAATAACATCATGATCCATCTAGTCCCAAGGTCATAAAAAACCTTCGTAAAGGAAAAAGCCCTTGGATTACAAAATAATATAAAAATGTACCTCATTCTCTCCTCCTCAATCCCATCGCATTCAGGTGTTTCCAGTGCACTGCATTAGGTAGTGCTTTTGTATGAATATCTGCTATCATGTATTCAGTTGGAATATACTCCAATTGTACTTGTTCTCGCTGACAAGCCTCTTTGACAAAATGGTACTTGATATCAATATGTTTTGTCCTCTCAGAAAAACCAAATTTAACAGCTAAATTCATGGCCCCTTGATTATCAGCAAATATAAGTTGAGGAGTAGCGCCGGGTATAGCGTTGTGTGCGTTCTTTATGGAGTCATTTGGTTTTTCGTTTTTAGTCGGATTGCTCCGAGATATATCATCAGGTTGATCAAGATTATAGAACATTCGTCTAAGCCAGATGGCTTCCTGTACTGCCTCACTACAGGCTGCATATTCGGCTTCTGTAGTTGAAAGGGCAACAAAGCTTTGCTTCCTTGATTTCCAGCTGATAGCTGCACCCGCAAGATTAAAGACATATCCTGAAGTAGAGTGCCTATCGTTGAGATTGCCTGCCCAATCAGCGTCCGTGTATCCTATTATTAAATCACCTTCTAGATGTGTTCTATCAACAACAGATTCGCCATTATTGCTTGTCATTTTGCATTCCTGAAACCTGAGGGCGAGATTGTGAGTACTCTTCAAATATCGGAGCACTCTTTTTGCAGCAGCTTGGTGTACTGACGTCGGCTTTGAACAAAACTGACTGAGTGCTGATACTGTATAGGCCAAATCGGGTCGAGTCCCTAGCATAAGGTACATCAGGCTGGCGATTAGTCTTTGATAATCTCGTACTTGTGATTTTTCAAGAATATCAGTTTCAGAGATAGCGTGGCGTAGTTTGATACTGCTGTCAATTGGAGTAGAGACCCCGTTACAATTTATCATTCCAAATCTCTTGAGTATAGTCATTATAAACCGTGACTGACTAAGATATATAGTATTAAGCTCCATATCTTTTCCACTCAAGTATGTTATTTCGAGTCCAATGAATTGTCTGGCCTCTCCCATATCAGTCATCTTATATCGTCTCTGAAGACTAATCTTAATCTCACGAATGATCGAGATATTAGGGGACATGATTAAAATATCGTCCACATATAGTAGCAGATACGAATCCTGTCCAATGTACAGATTTGGGTCACCAGCGGATTTAGTAAAGCCGGTGGTCTCCAGATAGTCGTTGATACTGTTATGCCAGAGGCGTGGAGCTTGCTTTAAGCCGTATAATACCTTTTTTAATCGGCATATCTTTCCATTAAGATTCAATTTTGATGGAGCAAGACTATTCATTCCTTCTGGAACTTCCATATATACCTCCGCATCAATTGTAGGATTGAGAAATGCGGTCACCACATCCATTTGGTGTATTTTCCAGCGGTGCAATGCCGCTTTAGCAAGAAGAAGACGAAGCGTTGTCAATCTTGCTACAGGTGCGTAAGTTTCACCATAGTCGATTCCTTCGACCTGTTCATACCCTTTAACTACCAATCTGGCTTTATGTCTAATGGTATTATCAGCAGTAGTCTTCGTTTTGAAGACCCATTTACAGCCGATTGCTCTCCCTACGGTATATGGGGTAGCGTCAACATATTCCCAAGTCTTGTTCGTTTCCAATGAATTTAGCTCTTCAATGATCGCTGTCTTCCAGCTTTTACTTTGAGGGTGCGCTAAAGCTTCTTCAAAGCTATTAGGATCAGTGTGTTCATTGTCAGTTACATCTGCAATATTTGCGCCAATTCTACTTGACCGTCGTAACGGTTGACTTTGCGGTTTAGAAATATCTTTTGCTACCGCAAGATTTCTGTCGTGAGCTGCTTAATGTCAATTAATTAACATATTCGTCAAGTTTGATAGACTTGGATATCATTCACGGACAGGGCTTAACCTACTACTCTCGAGTGTAGTTGCCTGACTATCAATCATTTCCACTTCCCGTGTACTCACGGATTTCTCACTTGCAGTTCTGTCTGATATTTCATATAAATGCTGCCCATATGACTTCGGTGGATCGAACGTCTCTGAACCTTGAACAGTGCCGTAGTCCATATCATCGTCTTCGAGTGGCATGTTATCGCTAAGACAAGATTTCAAGATCTCAGTATCGCCTTTGATATCTGAACTAATATTGCTGCTTCCCACTATCTTCTCTTCATCAAATTTGACGTCTGATGCTTGTATAACTCGCTCACCAACAGGATCCCATAAACGCTATATAGTTGTAGTATGATTGACATAACCAATCATAATGCATTCACGAGAGCGTGGAGTGAATTTACCGCTTCTCTGTGCTTGTGGTATAAGCTTGTATGCTGCACAACCAAACCGACGTAGATGCAAGACTGTGGGTAATTTTTTATAAAGTATCTCGTATGGCGTTTTTCCATTAACTGATCTTGATGGTGAACGGATATGCAGATACACTGCTGTATTGACTGCCTCTGCCCAGAAATTGTCACTCAAGTGGCTGTCAATGATAAGAGCACGGGCTTTCGTCACGATTGTGCGTATCATTCGTTCGCTCACTCCGTTTTTATGCTGAGCGTATGGTGGTGATGGTTCAAATGTTATGCCAGAAACCCGAAGTATTCCACGAAAAAGGCTGTTATCATATTCTCCCTTTCCATTGTCACATCTAAACCTGGTGATTGGCCATTCGGGAAATTGCTTTTCAACTCGGGCTTTGAATTCTTGAAAGACGGATACAATATCCACTGCTGTTTTTGATCGCAAGAAATATACCCATGGAACGCGCGAGTAATCATCGATATATAAGATAAAGTATTTGATGGCGGATATTGAAGGTGTTGTCATTGGCCTGCATAAATCTGAATGAATAAGCTCAAATGGTTGTTTTGTTCTTGTAGCAGGCTTTCGTTCAATTATCCGTTGTTGTTTTGCCTTCAAACATACGTCACAGAGTCCAATTTGATTATGTTTTCCATCCGAGTCGGAATAGCCAGCTTCACCAATGAGATGCTTTACTGCGTCAATTCCAAGATGTGCAAGACGAAGATGCCAGAGATTCAAGCTAGGTAGTGAGGTGACATTAACGGTAATCTGATTATTCATTGATATGTTACTAACTGCTTGTATTTTATGATGGAAACGAGAGGGAATAATATTGGCCTGAAGATGATATAGTCCTTCCCTAATTCTCCCGAGTAATAGTACTTTAGTACTTGAGGGTGACCGATTCGAGATTAAACATTCAGCTCCATTAAATGTTATTCTGTAACGCTCAGATAATTTACTGACTGAGAGAAGACATGATCGAAGTTGTGGAACGTAGAGTGCTTCGAGGTCGATCACATCACTCTTATTCAAGCCAAACTGAAACCGAATGAGTCCTATTCCTAATGCAGGAATATATGTCCCATCCCCCAAATATACATTATGGGTGGTATTCAAACGTTTAAGTGTTTGGAAATCCCGAGAATTGCAGGACAGATGGTGAGATACACCCGAGTCAATGATCCATTTACTTGTGGTACTGACTCCATCAAGAGTAACGAGTGCTTGAACTGTTGTATATGAAGCCTGTATATCACCGTCATCATCAACAGCTGTGTTGGGATTTCTATCACCAGAAGTATCTGAAGTCGTATTTGATGCTGATATCTGGCCACCATTATGTCTGTTTCTTGCCGCTTCTCCTCTCTTTTTTATTCTGCATACATCCTGTCTATGTCCACGCATACCGCAGTACCAGCATTCAGTGCTAGACGGACGTTGATATGGTTTGTGGGTTCTGAAGTTTCGCATCCTAGGATTTGTTCTGGCCTCGAGAGCGTGTGAGGAAGTTGAACTTGTATTGATTCCGGCTCCTACAGCTTCAGCTTGACGGTTGCGGGCAGCGCTGTCCCATTCCAATAGAGTAGCAATAACATTATCAACAGTCTGATTTTCGCTGGCCTGATGAGTGATAATATCGATTATTCCGTTATACTTATCTGGCAGCGAGATAATCAATTGGGAGATAAAGGTCTCATCCGAAATGGATTGAGTAGAGCCAGCCAGTTCCTTTCGACAGTCAAGCAGGCTGGAAATGAACTCGTTCAGGCTGTTCGTTCCTGAACCTGGACGGAGACGACTAAACCTTTGAAGGATAGCGGTTCTGCCAGCTCTAGTGTTTGTGGTATCCAGTCGTGCTTTCAGGACTTTCCACATCTCATATGGATCTATAATTCCGTCAATGTGACTTCTGACCGAGTAATGACAGGAGGCATTAATCATAGCTGCAGCTATTCCTTGTCTGTCCTTGTATTCAGCGGCCTTGCTGCCTGATGGCTGGTCGGCCTTTCCTAGTACGATATCCAGAGCCTTGCATGCATTGAGATAAAGACTCATGTCACGGCTCCACTGGTGGTAATTTTTAGATGTCAGTTTAGGGGTTTCACCATACTTGCATCTATACATCTCGTCGCCAGTATAGGAGCTACTAGCATTTGCCAGCGTTCCAGTAAGAAGAGGATTCATGATTGTTGTGATTTGATAAAGTGGACCGGGCTCATAACCTGTTGAAAGTAGGACGAGTATCAGTTATTATTCAATTGATATCGAGGTCTAAAGCTAATACATGGTGACTTATACTAGTAGGGTCAGGACAGATCCTTCAAGTGTCCGAGTCCCATTGGACACCGTAACCTTACTGTTTTGAACGACACCTTTCAACATTTATCTAGCCACCAGGCACGTACTAAGAGTCAATATTGAGCAGATATACCTTATAGACGCCCTTAAACTCCACCGGAACACCCCCATCACTGGAATAAATATTGATTAGTTGATATTTGGTAGGGAAAACCGGTCAAAAAAGTAAAGAGGCCCTTCCTTACGCCCCGCTATTCCACTGAGGGGAGTGTTCCGGTGGAAGTGGAAGGCGTATATAGACCTAATTGACTGGGGAAGAATCTAAGATCATAGGATCTCCGGATCCGGTAATTTCTAGAAAAATGTAGTTACACAGTAACCCCCACGGCTGGGAGGTTGGAAATACCTACCTCTACAGAAGGAACAAAATACGGGCTTAATATCCACAATAGTGTGTTCAAAACCGTTTCCTGTTGCTACTATAAATGCTGCAAGCAGTTTGCTAGAATTCTTGAACAGGAAGCTTCTTTCTCATCTCCTGTCAGACCACAAGATTCCTTTCTTGCCTTCAGCCTCTGTCTGGTTTTTATCGAGAGGTAGATGACTCCCATAGACACTCTCACACCACTCTCACTCGAATAGTTGATGATTATAACTTTTTGCGTTAAATATTCGAGTGAAAGCGGTGTTTGAGTGACCAGGGAGGTCATCTAAGTGGTCATCCTTACCGTTTATATATGGGCGCGGAAGCTTACGCCTACCTACACGAGGTAGTTCAAAAGTGCATATTGCCGTTTGAGAGCTGTGAAGAGAATTCTCTCATCTAATTGTCGCATGATAGAGTAATACTAGGGGGACCTACCTTAGCCAACATGTGACCTTTATGTTCTGCCTTTTCAGAAACTGATAGAAAACGGTAACGTTGTGTATATTGCCATGGATATGATAATGCTTAACACCCATTATCCCTTCGTCGGTTGATGCTTCCCATATTATAATGAGGATCGCAATTCGGCGGATCATTAATTAATTGATAATTAAACTAAAGAGCTCTGTGAGCAAAAGCCACTCTCTTGGTACCAGCCTTAAGGTGGGCAGCATTTTTCGACGGACGGAGGGATAATTATTCTCATATTGAATAAAGAGTTTCCCGTTGGATGACTCCACCACTCGCCCGAACACCCTTATGATCCGGACGGTTGGTGCTTGGCTGAGAAGAGATATAGAAGCCAGTTATAAGGTACTTACTCTTCTTTATAATGCCCCACTTTCCTCCATAAGAACCTGAAGATACAAGTGACAGAAACAAGTATAATTTATATGGAGAGGTGTCGTGACCCAGAGGACGACTTGGGCCAGCCCAGCCTGTTTCTTTCATGGGCCGGGCCGGGCCCTAGCTGTTTTTGGCCCGGGCTATTTGGTGGTTAAATGGGCTCGTATATTTGCTATATGATTTTGATTTTCGAAAGTATTCTTAGGGCTAAAATGTCATTCCCATCGGATCCAGGTAAGTATTCTTGTATATCTCATCTTGAAAATATTATCACAACCTTTTCAAGGCCCAGATATATTCGCTCCATGGCCCGACCTTTTGTTTGGTGGGCTGGGCCGGGCCCTACCTATATTTGGCCCGGGCCAGCCCAAGTCGCCCTCTGTCGTGACCCCATACAAATTAACTTGACCCTGCCTAAGTCGCCCCCATTTCAAGCTCTCATGAAAAGAGAGTGAGTAAATCTTCCTCTTATTATGACAGTATAACTGTCTGGTTGAGGGCGATGTCCGAGTGAGTGGTGGAGTTTTCTAAGTAAATGACCTACCTTCAAAGCACTACTGGCGTGTAATAAGAAACTAAGGAAGTTTATCAATGTCGGGATTCTTCAGTAGTCTTGTCTTAGAGTTGATTTTTGCTCATTCTGCAGCTGGTGATGATGACGACGGGGAGCCATGCAGGCGTAGGCTTAATGCAAATGCACAAGGGAAAGGTAGGCCGCCAGAGTCCACCATCTAAGAAAGAAACGACGTTTATTTCTTATCCAGAACAACCGAAGGAGGAGGTCACACTTTGGAGCATCTCGGCAGCCTTCCCTTCGTCGGTCATTCCAATGTATCTCTATCCGCGACATTGCGTGGCTTTCCACCCGCCGAATAAGAGCCACTTCACATAGTAAATACTGGGGATAGATATTTGTCTGACGATAAAATTTCTCTACACTGTAGAATTCCGGTGCTAACAACTGGGTGTCTGACGCTCTCCACTAGTCAGCGCCGGAAGCCGCTGTTGGAAGTCGCTGTTGGGCGTCTCATTCCCATTGTATACGTAGCCCATGGTGGAAAAACATATCATCTTAGAAACTGGGTAAGAGACCATGCTTGTGGTACAGCCAAACGAAATGTTTTGCAATTAGTAGGTCGTCCGCATTCGCTCATTCGGCAGCATAACCTGTACTAGCTGGGATAGGCTTTAGTCATGACGCTGCTTCAACCTCATCCTCATCGGGCAGATATACGTGCTGGTGCCTCCAAAGTTTGCTACAGCTGCCCCATGATACGAGGCTGAACCAAGCGTCACAATGCATGAAGGTGGCCCCTCGAGAAAAACATTGGATTGATTGCATGTACTTTACCTGTTGTGAAAATGGCTGTGACAAATTGCTACCCAATCTGCAACAGACACGCCACTACCGGCTTACCTAGATGTAACAGATAACGTATATATCAAGAAGAACTTTGAACTGGCGATGGTAATGTTGTCTGAGCCTGGTGTTCTAAGATATCTGAAGAGTGTTTAAGGCTGTGATGAAAGTGTTAGAATTAATAGGTGTATAGAGCTAGGTTGTTAGGTTGTTAGGTTGTTGCGGTGGATGGATGAGATAGACAAGTGTTGTTGATGAAGGGTGGTTGTTGATGAAAGTACATGTAGCCCTTTTCTGGCGGAAGCTTCAGAGAATGAGTTGCTGTAGTGTTAATCACCCAAGCGGGTTAGCTAAGAACGGTTGTAAGAAAATTGTGGCGCGGTCCTGATAGCTCCTAATTACATGTAGCTCCCAACTGCCAGCCCCCAACCCTAAGGACCGGTCTTTACAGTCTGACTTAAATTAGTCGAGCGACAATTCTTTCTCGTCAGGCTCAGGAATCGCCTCTACCGGCCAGCCCCCATCATGCCAAACGTAACCGACTAATCGCAGGTGTTATCTTATCATAATGATGGGGGTTTGTCTAGGCCATCTCAAAATCAGCGCCCCCCCCCCCCAAAAAAAAAAAAAAAAAAAAAAAAAAAACCGCAAAGGGGGAAATTGACCCACCAACTTACGATTCCTTCAATACTTATACATTTCCGACTACCTACCGTCCTGGACTACTTGTTGTCTCGCAATCGTGACGCCTAGAATCCATATCCGATGTTTCGTTTGCCTTTGGCTTCATGATCAGACAACCAGGGACTCCAACATCGTTCTTCATGTCAAGAATCTCACTTTTCACTCCATGTGGCTCCGAAAGACTCGCTCTGGTAGAAACCGTTTCGCTTCCTAGTAAACGAGTTGCTCTCGACGGGGATGGGTCCAGGGTTAGGTCATGACCGACTGCACCATAGGTACAGCATGAACAAACATCACGCTTATTTTACGAAACCAAAGCCTACCAGATTTAGTGCGAGCAACTCCTGAGCGACCTCACCCGCTTGAATCCCATGAATACGTGGAGTTGTTCTGACACAAAGATATAAGCTCCCAGCAGAAGCGCGAGTGATATATCATGACTCACATCTTCATCAGCTGTGCATACTGGAGCAGATAGACAACTCCATCTGCGTATAAAGGCAAAGTTTATGCATTCGTCTACCCACCTGCCTGCCCGCGAGTCTGGTAGTAATGTACATGTAGGTGTGTGGTGGTTGTGATAATCACACTCAACAGCCGATGCGAGTGATAATCTATGCAGTGGTTTTCTTAATATAGAAACCGATATTTCCTTTTTCCTGTGAGCGTGTGCGTCCACTAACACCCGCCTACTGGACCCTCAACTTGCATGTATCTACTCTACTCTACCCAAATCCAGTTATGCAGATAGCTACGGTTAAGGGGCAGCGGATGATTTTAGGTGAATTTATTTATTTTGAAAAAAATATATCTAACATTTTTGTCGCTAGGTATGCAGGTATAACCTTCTAGTGACTGTGACCAGCGCTATCCGCTCCACCCAGCATGCCAACATTACAGCATAAGAACCGAAACCCCAAATGCTAAACGACTAGTCAATGATCTCAATGGTATGATAATAGCCTACCAATCCATGGCGCTTTTGTACAAAAAATAATGAATCAAATCCATAATGATAATAGTTACGGCGAAAGGGGAAAATAGGAAAAAAATATCCATGAAACAAAACACCTAAACACCGTCCGCAGATGCCCACAACAAGGAAACCTGAGAAAAGGGAGAAAGAAACAGAGAGTATCAAAAGAATAGAAACAGCCAAACGATCGCGCCAGCGAAGTTGGATAGTAGAGCAAACGTTATCGGTCCGAAGTGGGGAAAGATGATCGAAAGAAGAACAACGCCAGGTAGAAGTAGAAGCTGACCGGTGATTTATGAATCATGCTTTTTCGCGAACGGTGGAGGGAATCTTAATCGGAAGTGCTTATCTGCATCGCCATCATTCAGTCAGCCTCTGCCCCCGCGACCACACAGAGGAGAGGAGAGGAGAGGCAATACCCTGATTTTTGACTGAATACAAGAAGTTGACGATAACGTCGTTCTCCTGGATCGGCTGCGCATTGAAATTTTTCCTCACAGCAGTCGCTAACGCATCTCGACTACTCCTGGTCCTTGATCGACTGGGTGCCTTCCTTCCAATGCCCGTAGAGAGTACTGTGTTGTTGAATCCACCCGATGCAGAAGGAACTTGGAGCTTGTACGCGTGACGATACCTGTGGAGTGTGTCGAGATCGATGCCTTGCCAGCCCATCTGGTGTTTGGCGAAAAGGGTCAGGAGGAGACGATGGAAAAGGGTGAAAGGTTGAAGAGAAGTTGACTTACACCCTCGATCCCTTCATGGGCGTGAGTTCCGTTCGCGTTCGTGGTAGCAGGAGCAAGAAGCGACTTTTCTGACGCAAGCCCTGCTGCTGCTGCTGCTCCCAGTGCCTGTCGACGCTTCTCAGCTGTGGATGCTTTTTCGCGTGATCCACCGCCTACACTTGTATCCGAACGGGAGTCGTCATTGGCAGGGTTTGCCCGTGATCGTGCTGGAGGCATTTCTGATTCGGAAGGGGGAGGTGGTGAGAGGAGCGGAAACCTTGAGTATTGTCGGGCTGGTAGAGGAGTTGGGAAGTTGCGATGTCGGGAGGGATGAGAGAGTGTGGTGGTGGTGAGGAGAGTGACTGTCGGCTGGAAGTGATCATCAGGCGGGGAGGAATCGGGAAGGAGGAAGAGTAAAGGAGCAGGACCAGGAGGGAGGAGAGAGAGGGGGGCCAACGGACGAAGGCGGAAGTGGGTAAGGGAAAGTCCGCACAACACAGCGCAGCAAAGCACAGGCAAGCAGAGCAGGCAAGCAGCAAGCAAGCACGCACGCACACACCCAAGCAAGTGGACGAGTTAATAAATGCGCAAATGAGTTCTAAACAGAAGACAGGCAACGCAGAATCAGAGGAGAGAGTACAACTGGGCTTAGTTTAATTGCTAAGGCGGGGAAAACGCGATTTCGGGTGTGAGAACCGCGCGCGTCTTAAGTAAGCAGCTGGGGAAAGAGCCTCAAACGCGTGACTAGTCGACCCTGGTTGGCAGCTGGATTGGATTGACACTGACAGGATGGGACAAGACAGCTAGGAAAGGTAGGTGGGCAGCGTTGTACCTACATGGGCGTACATACGTAAACGTAGGTACATGTGGGGAAAGCCTGCAATTGCATAGAGAAGTCTCATCACTTCACAACCTCTGCATACATAGAACACCGAAAGATGAGTTGGTACAGGTTTCAAGGTCACAAACTATCACTCGGTCCTCCAACTGAAACAGGCATCACAAATGGGATAAAGTTCATGTGGATGTCTCCCTCGCTTCACGCAGCCCTACACACTTATCAGTGGTATATGTCACAACCACTAAAATCAACAGAACTCGCCCGGAAGCTTTCAAACAACTAACAATGTACATATATGTACTGTATAAACTCTATTGGGCTACCCATAAACAACAGACAGAAAGAAAAACAATAACCCCCATTCCCAACGCCCTTCAATGCCATCTAGCCGTAAGTTTTATGTGAAGAAGAAAAAAACCAAACTCGAACGCGGGATTCCCTGGAGCCTCCTTACCTTTAAAGGCTCTTTTTCATCTTGTCCTTCCTTTACCTACACTCTAATGTCTCGAGCAACGACCTCCTCACAGCCGCATTAGTAACCCCGCCAAACCCGAATCTACAACCATCCCGCATTATGTCAGCATCTTACCAACCAACCATCACACAGCTCTCCCAAGAGTAACCTACGCAGGTAGAATGCGGCACATCCTTGCCATTGCACTTGGAAAGTAATTCGTCTTTATCATCTTACACCTCTCCTTCCAACTAACATTCCCCCGATTGTATAGGTCCAGCCCTAGAAGATGAAGCGGCGTGCTGAAGATCTGACAACTCGCCGGAGCTAAGAATTGCGCCCAACTCTCCGGCTTCATAAGCATGTCCTGTGGCATGTACGGAGCGAGGAGTGGGGGAACGTTGAAAGAGGAAAAGATCGTCAGTGCGTCCCTGGCAGCAAACAGGACAAACGTAGGAGCTGGAACAGGTCGTGGGGAACCGGTGCCGAACATGCGCGCGAAGGATCGGTCTTTTACGAGCCCGAGACTCATGTTTACACTGAATTTCCATCTACTCAGCACCGAGAGAGCTAGCCAGCTAAGAGGAACACTTACATGGAGGTGGTTGCAAACTTCTCTGGGCCGGCGGTAACGGTCTTGATATCGGTCCCATTTCGGATAGAGGATATTGTGTCAACCGTGTTTGCCGAAAGATACGTTCCGCAATATGTGAGCTGCATAATTAGCCAAAAGTGTCCGTACCAGGAAGGGAAGTCGGGCGCGTGACTCACATAGATCAGCGCAAACGGTTTCGAGAAAATAAACTTGTGAGGTGAAGTGAACAGCGTCTTCAATGACGTGCCTACAGATGCCAGCACCGATTTTGATCGTCCAGAGGCATTCTCAATAACGCTCCTACCAATAGAAACGTCCTGTCAATTGTCATGCTCTAGGCAAATACTGAAAGTTGCCAACATTTAGAGATTGTGGAAAGAGTGGATCATTTGGGAATAAGAGTTGATGAGCACGGGAATCTTGTTTATATTCCGAAGCAACTGCGGAGAAAGAGATAGTTCCATACCGATCGATCAAACAAATAACTACTCATACGCAATTGGAATCAGCGACCACTACCCACAAAGCACATGATAGGAATAGGAATTGAGTCATACCAGGCGCAATCGCCAATGTCGCTGCACCAGCAGAGACAAAATCCACCAAAACTCTCTCAAGCGTCTTCACCTCTGGCTTCAGCACCTCCACAATCTTTGGCGTCGTCACAGATGGGGTTGGAGGAAGAGGAAGCGCCGGGGACGACATGTCGAATTATTCTATCCGTACGTATCTAGGGAAGGAGCAAAGAGAGAAAAACGAAACCTACGCTACGTAGATTAATAGTAGGAGGTAGGTAGAGGTTTGCGCCCAGTCATCGTCCCGTGTTCCCGCTCAAGAGTTGATATGTAATTACATGATATGCTGCCAGCACCCAGGGTCAGGGCTAGATGAGAAAAAAAATGGAATCAACAGGTCTCGGCTAAACTATCCCCATTGGGTTTGGCGTGACCGGGGAATGTGTAAACACACCCGACATCATCTAAGCACGCGAATATAAAAAACTTCAATCACCCTGGGGAAAGGTGTGGACATTGATATCGGATATCTGGGGCTCGAGGTAACGTCTGAGATTGTTTGGCGTGTTCCGGTTGTTTGTGGATGGTGATCGAGCGGGTTAGGGATATTATATGCACCAATCCAGCAGTGTCATGTAAGTCGATGCAACTGGTAAAAATCCGATAAGATATAAGATTACGGAACACAACGTCTACAAGACCTTCCAAGACCCAAGTGAATTGGAATTTTACCGACTCAGGGTTTGATCTTACGGAAATATCTGGTGACAAGGTAATATTAACACTTATGTCCCAGAAACATTGATAGAAATCTCAATATCCGTTATAAAAGAATGGCAAGGTGGGTGCTTGGGTGAGCTCTTTCCCAGCTCTAATGTTGTAGGGACAAAAAAGCAAGTACTATAGTCCCGAGAACCAGAATAATGGCCTAGAACCCGTTTATTATACCATTTCATCATAAACACCATAACTTTATGACTATTGATGCAACGCTCAAGTATTAAGTATGTTCATATTCTCCACAAGTATTCATCCTAATATTACCCAAGGACCTCGTGGGTCTCCAAAAAAATGATAGGGAATACAACGGGGGGCAGGGAATGATACTACACGGGTTTTAAGAAAGAGCTCCACCTTTGAGAGAAAATATGCTCCATTCCACACACACTACCTACTCCATGCCGTTCCGTTTTGTGACGACAAAAAAAATGCAACCCAGTAAGACCCAGCAACAGAGAACTATGGATATGAGTAGATATTCAACTATAAGCCCGCTCCTCCAATCATGATAGGTGCCACTCGATGATCTAGGAAGTTGTAATCCAGGACATATTCTTTCTATAGCACACAAGGCGGAAAGAAACGAGTTAGCAAAGCTCTAGTTTATTTGCTTGCCCCTCCAGATATGAACTGCTTCGTTTTGGCTAAAACTAACCCTGACTCGTTCCCACTGATTCGGGTCGAAGAAAACGTAAATGCCCTTTTCAGCAGTCTCAGAGACCTGACGAATATCACTCGCGGTATCCTTCGTTAACCAAAGCTTGAGAGCTGTGTGGTAACGCCAATTTCGTGATGATCTGTGGATGTAAATGGGTTTGTATCAGCTAGAGCAGTTCTCGGCGCCCGAAAATGTAGATTGGAATGGTACTGACAATTCCGTAGCGACAACCTCTTGCATTACATCTCTTGGCATAGTGTAGAAAATATAGAAGAGGGTTTCATCTGAAAAAGCTGCAACTTTAGATCCTAGGGGCTGAACATTATGCACCGTGTAACAAGAAGGCAACTGGAAATCAGGCTCGACAGGTTTCGAGTCAGTGTCCGCCCAAGGTGAGGCAAACGATGGATATAAAGGAGCCCTATTTACTAGGTCAGACTCAAATTATTTAAGGCGGAAGAAACAGAGGGGTAATCACTCGGGTTGATTGAGATCAAGCCCTAGTTGTGTTAGGTCTTGACCTAGTGCTAACATCGAAAAATCTCCGCTCTCCCCTCGGATAAGATTTAAAAGTCCACCAAGCCCAAATCTGTCAGTTTCTCCCATCATGTTGCTAGTGGTGCCTGTACCCACTGAGCCTTCTCCGAAGTCGACACCGTTCGCATTAGACGAAAACTTTGATTGATGTTGTGGAGGCGGCTGTTGCTGTCCTAAAGAATGACCAATTGGGTTTTGTAAACCTGGAGCAGGCGATGCATTTGTTTGGGGCGGTAATGGCTGCGAGAGATTTGTTGTGGCGGCGTTTGTTGGAAGACCAGGTGCCCCATTGGGTACCATTGAAGAGGTATTTACTTTCATCAAATTCTAGCGGAGTCAGTATTTGGATCAGGGAGGCCGAGGGCTCGGCTAAGAGCTCAACTCAAGCCATCATATCCGAAATAAGATGGAGCCTACCAACCTTCTTTCCAACATCTGACATTGGCACACCTCCGGGCTGTTGCATGACATCAAGCAGCCTGCTCTGCGGCGGGGCATTTCCCATCCCTAATCCATTTCTCCCTGCAACACCCATATTTGCTTGCCGTGTAGAACCATACTGCCCTCCTGCCCCCATAGCGCCTATTCCCATGAATCCTCGCTCGTCTAAGTGATCGCCTCCTTGAGCTGTCCTTGGCAGTGCTGGAAAGTCATCCAAGCTATTGGGCTGCATCTGCTGTCTTCCTTGGCCTTGCCCTTGACTACCGCCGCCGCCCCCATTCCCACCTATTCTATAACCATCCATATCTGGGAATAGATCGTTTGGTTGCGGCGGACGATTCTGTGATGAAGGTGATTGAGTGCTTATCCTATTCCAAGGTTGAACGTTGGTGTTTTGTGGCTGTCCTCCGAGCGCGGGAAATTCGCTATCCAAAAGATCCAAAATGTCAATATCGGGTTCCTTGGCATTCTCCATCTCAAATAGCTACCATGATCGAATCGAACCAGTGACTAGGTATGGGAAAAAAATTGTAGGATACGAACCTCAAATCTAAAGGTGTGCCAGGCTGGCTAGCAAGTTGAGAAAAGGGAAGACTAGAGCCAGGCCTGCTACCCGCTGGATTCGGGACTCCCGGTGGAGGTCCACCTTGCCATCCTCCTCCTATAGATACCAATCGAGCGACACCGCATACCCAAACATCAGCTTTCATAAACTTCGTGATATCAGGAAACTCGGGGGTCCTGGGTCAAGTGGGTGTAAAGGCGCACAAACCGATTTTTCCGTTGGGAATTCCTCCGCCTCTTGATGCAGCAGTGGGGGCTGGTGGAAAGCCCGGTAGTCTCATGGGGTTCTGGTTAGGGGGGCCTAAGCATAAATAGGAACGAACGACCAGTTAGTTTACTCCTCTGACCTAGCTGTGGTATTCGGGGGTGGGACAGAACACAAGGATGTTGGACCTTGACGATTCATGATGTTTGTGATGTTATTTCAGTTGATATCTCGCTGATGGGCGTATATCTTGTCTGGGTATCTTGAGTATTAGTTAGAGGGGCCGATGAGATGTTGGGAGTTAATTAGGGTCTGTTGATCGAGGGGGTGAAGCTTTACAAACACGAAACGATGGAGTAAAGGTGTTCGCATGCAGGTGATGGAGCGGATGGTTACTTGTGGTTAGGGCTGTTGTAAAGATGCAACGGAAAAGGTGGGGTGCTAAAGGTGAGGGTCAGGGTTACTGAATGGTCCAAGCTCCCTGCTACATACATCATGTAGGTACATGTACCTCCACACTCGCAGCTCATTATTCACTCTGGCCCTGGACTGTTTAAATTCGATTTCGATAGGTATAGCATCCCTAGCCTCCACAGCGCATGGCCGTTATTGCACATTGCACGCCGTCATTGAGGTTCCAATTCGAACCTTCTATGTAGGTACATGTACATGTATGTACCAAGCTTTATTTGATCATGAACAACAGCCAACCTAGGGACAACAATTTCTAACACAATCTTTAGATGAACTTCGGGGTTTGGACATACGGAAAATTCTACGGTCAAGGGTAAATATCTCATATGGGCTTATCTCTTTCCCCTGGCATCATAGTAAGAAGTAGGGGTGCCTTTTAAGGCTATTTTAATCTGGAAAGTACCATCACGAAGTGGCCTCTAAACCCCGCCAACACCTTCGAGATCATGGGAGTCAATGCGCGACAAAATATATCATCGCCTAACTGCTTCTAGAGAATATTCACCCCTGGTAATGGCAAAACTGGCTCTATGGCAAACAGTAATTTTTTCGTCAATCGACGAGATGGTCAGGCACGGCTCTACTCACTTTGATGGGTGTCGAAGTTTAGGGTCTTAAGGCTCTTCCTCTTAAAAGGCGTATTACCACTCTACTTGACACACCCACCACCAAAGCGAATCCAGCCATATTCGTTATCCACCAAAACTTGAGACAGGAGTAAGCTGCATAACTACATGTATTCCACCTACATGTATTCAGCTCAGGAAAACGACAGCCGCCTGAATATTCAAATTACTTTTGGGAACGATAAACAAATGTCGAAATTTGCTTTTCCATAGATATTACAATGATCTACGCAAATCCCAAGAGTCATCAATAATTTAAGCGTTAACTAGGTGAATCAAACTCAGCCATGGGTACGGTACTGTCATGCAGTGTGCAGTGTGAGAACCTTATCGCTGGTGCATGCTGGTGCAAAGGGGAGGGGGCAACCTCTCTCGTATTCAAAACTTTAGGGTACCAATCAAACGGCATAGCTAGAGTACTTAGTTTATTGATCAAAACCACGTGTCCCATTAAAGCCAGGAATTCACAAGAACGTTAAAGGACTTCTTTCGTTGGTCCTAGCTAACCCTGCCAAGATGCAGCGAGTCTCCTCATCGAATGTTGTGGTTGGCTGTCGTTGCGATTAAATTTATGAGATCGTCGCTGCTCAGCCCAACTAATATTCCTATGTATGTGTTCCTGCATATTAATGTCGACTATAGTACAGCCTCCGGTAGAATTATTGCGGAAATGTGGCGTTGGAGAATCGCTCTGTTCTCGGCGTGATGGTTGGTCCCTGTTTTCCACCGGAGGCTGTAGACTTAGTGGGTGCATGTGACTATTCGTTACTAGGTGGGAACTTGATGTTATGAGCATGAATACGAACTTGTTTAGAGGTGAACTTTAATAGCCCCAAATCAAATCCCAATACATAATGATTAAATACACTGACGTAGTAGAAAATAAGTACGGTTGCTTTTAGATAGGCTTCCATTATTTACGGCACTAAGAGCTTTGGGGAGAAACGCTACTTGAACTAGGGATTCGCCCTCATTTCCAAGACTACAAAGCTACACTTTTATAATTATCCACAACGCAAGAGGTGCAATAAAGCAGCCAGTAACTCAACAGCACGGCGAATATTGGTTAAAGAAGGTTAGAATAAACAGTATCCGGCGGTAATTCATGTTTAAGGACGTCAGTTTATTTATAAAATAGCTGTTATTAACCGCTAACTTGAAACTCCACATTTAGAACCTAAACCCTTACATAAATACGAGACGCATCGAGGAAGGCCTGCTGTCTGATCCTGAATGGCTTCAACTATAGGGACAGTCACTTTAAGATGATCTAGACAACCCTGCAGTGGCCTGATAACCCATGTTGCCGAGTTAATATTATGATATCTCGGTACTTTTTATGAGATAGTTAGGTGTATTAATTGGTTGTCATCAAATATTGCCAGCTGGAGGTGAGGGGAACTGAGAATATGCACGAGAATCGAATTTCTAACCTCAGCTCGTATATACCTACCGGAGAGCTTCTCCAATAGTCATTAACGCCGACTCTTATATAGAGAAGAAATGTATTAATAAGGCTGTAGAATCAATACCCCAAGTTCTCACCACCAGCAAGAAATACAAACTCTTTTCTCCACATTCAGGACTAGATCATCAGAATTTCAGTAACAATGCGTTTCACTTCGGTGCTCCTCCTCCTCATTAGCACATTCACCTTCATGGCCTATGCTACTCCCATTGAAGTAGTGGGGCGTGAGGCAATTCCAATTCCAAAGACTTCACCTGCCATTACTGGGGATGAAGCTCTTAAATCAAGGGCAGCGACTTACAGTTTCGTTGGCTGTAACCAGAGGTTTTTTGTTTTTTGTTTAATTCATTAATTGCTTCTGTAACCAGAGGAACTTCCAGGTAAAATATTTTCTCCTTCCCCCCATCCGTCACTATCCCACTCGAAGTTCTATTACAACCCTTTAATTTACACCAAGCATCGCATGAGATTTGACTAATATACTCTCAATCGTAGGGTACCTGCGTGACCATTACCTGCGATTACGGTCAATGCTGCCAGTTCACGAGTTTCGAACTCTTGCGGAAACACCTTCTTTCCGGATATGCTGTGAATGTTGTCGGTCTCTTCCTGTGAGTAGTTCCTGATGAACGGTGGTTACAAAGGGCCCATTAATAGTGGGGCTAAATAGATACCATGACAATATATGTGTCGGGGACTCAGATCGCCTCTGGATCGACGAGGACGGTTATCGCGATTTGTACAGTTTCTCAGATTTCAATTCCATGAACATGGATGGTTAGGCTATGGAAAGCTATAAGTCACGATTAAGGGATATTTCGCTTTCCCTTCTTGGAAGGGTACGTGACTTGAAAATGGTGGCACGTTGTTTCACAATCGTTTAATTCCTTTGTACAATTACATCGTTAGCCATATATAAAACAGACAGGGGATCTCCCTCAATCTCCCGAATAAAAGAATCGAGCGGTTCCCGGTTAAACCTATAATAGGGTGGTATATATATTATATTATACGTAGAGGATCGATTGGATCTGATTGCAAGGAGTAAACGTGCAAATCCACTTAACCACTTGGCAGGCGCGCGCCATGTTACAGCTTTAAAAGATTTCTTGGAGATGTGGTCATACAAGGTTTAAATTCGAGTGTATGGAGGTGTAGTGGATTGGCTAAGATAAACGGCGTGTTGATATCCGATGATTTTTTTTAGTTGTCGCACAATTTGTGATGCCGAGTGAGAGTTTGTGATCCGATGATATGTCTTTCGATTCTGAGTTATGAGACAAAAGGTGCAGTAATGGAGAAGTTAAAATCCATTTTCCCCCATATAGCCATCTTATTGAATTAATTGTGCTGCCGCCAAACGCATTTGAGAAGAAAGGAACGCATAACCTAAGCATACAAAATCTGATCCTCTGCTGACACCAGTGGAGCTAGCCTGCTTCACACCGTAAAAAAAAAAAGGTGCATCAATTCGTGTAAACACGTACGTGCTGAGGTATACCTGCAAAAAAAAATAGCCCCATTCTCAGCTGCAGGCTATTTTGTAATTTTACGTTACCATACTGATCGTAACTCACCATAATTATCTCCACGCCCCTGCTGTCCAAAACAGCTTCAGCACTTCAACGTGGCCCTCTCTGGGTGTCCTCCACTGCAAATTCGCCGTTGGTGTGAAGCCCAACTTATCTACCACATCGATCCTCGCTCCAAACCTGATCAGTGCCCTAAGCGTCTTGGTATCGCACCACTTCGCCGCTTCATGCATCGGCGTGCTACCGTCCCTACCCACAATCCCAACCTCAGCCCCTTCCGCCAGCAACAATAGAACCAATCTTCCATCCCCAGCTCTCGCAGCTTTGTGCAGCGCCGTCTCCCCTCGTTCATCGTCTGTAAGTCCACGTCCGCGCCACCCTCTATTAGAAACTTTGCAACCGCATACTCATTAGCCACATGTAGCGGTGTGTGTCCCTGGGAATTAAAGACATCCACAGTGGCACCAGCATGAATAAGCATGTTAACGATAGCGCTCTGGTTGTGAGCTGCGGCATAATGGAGTGGTGTAAACCCTTGGACGTCGGGGAGATCAAGGAAGGCATGCATAGAGATGAGAAAGGAGACAACCATGGTAGCTCCACGTATAGCAGCGATGTGTAGGGCTGTTTGATCAAAGCGGTTGGTGATGTTTGGAGAAACCCCACTGAGAAGGAACATTTTTAGGGAAGGGAAGTGGAGTTCGCCTTTATGCAGAGCCCGGAGAAAACGACGGTGTGTGCTTTCGCAGTCTTGGCCAGCGCGGATGATAGGAGGAACTGACTTGGAGGGAAGAAGTAGGGAGGTAGAAAGGCTCATTCTGAATGATATTATTATAAATATGATTGTTGACGAGGATAGATATATACGCAATTTTACCTAAGGGACAATATGAACAAAGGGTAAATTCACACCGGTGGTATTTCAACACTTAGTTTAACAAAAAGTGTCAAGACCTTCCCCAGGTAGCTTGATTCTATGTTAGTTTTTCCCCTCAAAAAGCATTGAAATGTGTCCTTTACATATATCATATGCTATGTGGACGCCCCATTTAATTCTAAGTGTCATCAGAAAGCAAGCATGCAAACGATAGGTAGAGGAGATGACGAGATTTCAACACGTGACCTAAAGCCTCCGGGGCCATTGCCATATATTTCATTGGCCGTGAAAGTACCGTTATCCTAATGTATACGTAAGGGAAGGGTACGGTTACCCCAACTTCTGGGCCAAAACCAATTTGCAATGGCACGTGTCAAACGCCACCAGATATAGGTCATCTACCCCAGGTGGTCAGGCAACGATATTCCTTGAGGTCAGTAGCATTCATAACAGAACTGCTGACCAAATAAGATAATGAAGAGAGAGAGAAACTTAGCATCATAGTCTCTCACTCGGCCCTCGGGTTTCATCTGAAACTCTCCGATATTCCGTTCTGCTCGGTCTAGTCCATCTCACATACACATCCCCAACAAACTAAAAAACGATTTCTCGTCATCATATATAGAACATATATTTCAATCATATATTGGCCTAACTTCGCCGCATAAGCCACGACACCCCATACAAATGAATTAACAAAAGCTATGCATGGCACACCACAAATTCTCACTCGACGCCTAGCTCACGCCGTGCAACTATAACCGCCACCATGGCACAGACCGACCAGGCAGATTGCCCTACAACCCACCTATAAACCCTCCATATCCTCCTTGTCAAGGGAGTGGGTGTGTTTTCGCAGCTCGCATCAGTCCTCTACCGCATGCATCTAGTTCTCATGAATATATTTCGAGCGGATCGAAGCTGGAGCTAGCTGCGATTATATAGCCAGCAATTAACATTACCAGACGCAACAGCGGCCTGCCCTAGAAAAATCTATCTCTCTACCGACACCCACATACGAAAGAAAGAGAATATAGGAAGAAAATGGCTTGAGATGACGACTCAAGTCAAGAAAAGAATACACGACAAAGTTTTAACCCCAACCAGCATTGGTTGGAATTCATTCGTAATAGACGTCGACATCCTGGTCGTAATAACGTTACAAGAAGATTAAAAGAAAACGACAAAAGCAGAAATGGGCTCGACGGCCACCACCCGTTTATCGGAGAAACGGTGGCAGGAAACGAACCCCCCAAATCAGCCAATCTATCCGTTGGTTCTCGATTAAAGAAATAATAAAAAAGAAATTCACAAGAAGGTATCGAAACCGCTATCGGCCGAGCGTCGGTCCTGGTGCTGTGGTGTAGTCTTCCGCCTGAAGGGCCCTGGCGCTATTCCGCACATGATCGAAATGGAAGCAGTAGAGAGCAGCGAGGGTGTACCCCTGATCCTGACTTGCAAGGTGCCAATCTCTTCCCCTATCATTGACCCTTTCGTTAACCGAACCCGTGGTCAGCAACTCCCCGATAATTCTCTCATCCCTCATCCCGCGTCGTCTCTCCTGCCTGACTATCCAGTCAACAGCCCTCTTTCCAAAGTTATCGACGCTCTTTACATCTGCACCCTCTCTTAGGAGCAATCTGAGCATAGCCTCACTTGGCCGTTTTGCCGCCCAGTGGAAGGGAGTGCCTCCCTTGAACACGTCCCTGGCGCCGACTGCAGCCCCACTCTCAAGTAATAATTTTCCGATCTCGGCCTTCCCCATATCGGCAGCCCAGTGGAGAGGTGTACCACCCCACCAATTATCGGCAATGCTCGTATCCGCTCGCCAATCCAATAAAAGCCGGACCATATCCGTGTGTGCGAAGAGCACAGCCTTATGCAGCGCTGTTTCGCCGAGGTTGTTTCGCGCGTCAACGTCGATGCTTGCTTTTAGGAGGCGTTCGGCGATCGCCGTGCTACCCCCGTTGCCCCAGTTTCTGGTCGCGATATGGAGAACCGTCTGGTCTTTGGTATCCCTGATATGGACGTCAGCGCCTCTGGCAAGAAGCAGAGCTACCATTCCTTCGTAGCCTCGTGAAACTGCGAGCTTCAGCGGTGTCTCCCCAAGCTTGTTGCGTGCATCTATGTCGACGTTTGCGATGTTAATAAGCGCGCGAGCGATTGTAAAATCGGTTCTGTCGTGGTCAAGTGCGACGTGTAGTGCTGTGCAGCCCTTACTATCCTCCCGGTTGAGATCTTCTTCGGGAATCTTTTCGAGGAGCTGGAGGAAAAGTGCTGTGTATGATCCTGCGGCAGCGAAGTGAAGGGGTGGAGTCCCATCGGGGTGGTCACGCAGTGCTAGACGTAACAAATGGGGTTTCAGGAGGGAATTGAAACGGTGTGATGTGAGCATAAGGGAATAGAGGGCAGAACTATCGGGGGGATCGGAGAGCTCATCACCGATGACGAGGAAAAGTTCGTTTGGGAGATCGTGGAGCCGCAGGGGTTCATTGACTGGCTGTACTTTGCCATTGCTGACGTCTGTTGTCTCCATATATAATGCGTTCTGGTGGCTTTGATTTGGATTAAAGGTATCGCTGTATTTGACGATATGATGGGTCAAGATAGTATGTGTTTTGTTGAGTGATGAGCGTGTGAAGGAGGGCCTTCTGTGAGGAGGAGATTTTGAGTGAGAGGCCCCCATGGCAACTAGGGGTTAAGTGCACCCGTAACTGTATTGAGAGTAGTATGGAGAATAGTATGGGTAGCAGGCACGTCAAGTTCAAACACCACCAGGATATAGTCTGATATGTATAGTATAGTACTATCAGGGCCAAAATTCCTCCTCGGTGAAGAGATACTATGGATGAGCACTCGCCGGGCCGTCGGGGGCTATATCAAGCTGGTTTCCCTTCGGGGATCTATTATTCTAACGACTGACATCATTAAACGTTAATAGATGGACTCAAGTGGAGGCTTTCTGCTTACGGCTTACACACATGTATGTATGTATTAACAGGGTTCCTTCTAGAAATGCTTGTGTGGCCAATCAACCAGCAGTACATGCAGTAGCGGGAACAGACAGTTGAAAGATCTCTTGAGTATGACAAGATCGTGGAGGCAACGAACATGAACAGCAATAGGGAGTAGGAACAGGACGAACAGGATGCATCATCTCTTCTAGATCTTATAATACGAGCATGCAGGGGCATTAATCCTATCTGTGTTTACCCTAATTAACAGAGTAATATACTCTTATGTAGAGTACGCACTTTATATTATTATTGATGGGAGAGTGTGCTCCTAGTAATGCACACAAATCACTTATTCCATTGTTTGTGGATGGATCGCCTGCCCTCCGCATGCGAACGGATGAGAATGTGTGGTAACCCTACGTGATATACTTTACGTAGCGGGACAATGTAACCGGTGTGCCCTATGCTTGGCACATGTAGGTTACCCGGCCATCGCCCCCCGGAGATGGTTGTTTCTCCTATCGGCAACTAGCAACTGGCATTTCAACGACCAAAGGCTCGCGTCTCCCCGAGGATAGAAAGGTCGCGACGATAGACTGACGGAAGAATCCAATACGACATCCCACAAACTTCTCAGTCCTCAACACCCACAACACCCTCCACTTTCCTAAAATTCGAACCCCTCTCTTTGTTTAACGAAGGAGAGATATTGTAATCAAAAAGAGGGGAAAAAAACAAGAAGATACTTTTGGGGTTTGTGGGGGACGCAGCGCAGCACGAACATTTGGATTGATTAAAACGCGCACCAGAAACTTAACGTCACCAGACCCACCGTGAAGTTAATACAGCATCACGAGATTACCTTCAATAACAAGGGCAAACACGACTAAACAGTTTCACGTCAATCACTCGGCCATTAAATCACAAAATCACGACCACGAGCCTCAGACGATTACAGAATATAAGAATATACGCAAGAAAGGCACCCCTCGCACACACATCGCCATGCCTCGCCCCGCAAAACACCCAGTAAGGAACTCCCCACTTACCTTAGTACAAGCCTCTGTCTAACCCTACCTTAGTATCCAACGGCGCTGCCTCCCCTGCTGCAGTAGAGTCGTTGACCCCCACCACCACGTCCACCCCCGCTGCAGACTCGGCCAGCCCACCTCCTTCAACCCCTCATGATACAGAGCCCTCGACGCCAGCTCCATATAGCACACTCAAGCGCAAGCGCGGCCGTCCCTCTCGTGCTGCTCTCGACGAAGCCTTGCGCTCGACTTCCACCCCACTCCGCAATGATGATGACCCCCCTCTGACGCTGGGACCCCCGCTGCGTCCACCCCATTAACCACGCTTTCATCCAAGAAGCGCCGTGGGCGCCCCCCCGCCTCGGCGAAAAGCATGCGCTCTCGCGGCGGTCCTTCTCACGTCACTAGCGTCCCCCTCGACAAAGATGGTAACCCCCAGACCGTTATTAATGATGAGATTGTCCTCCCCGAGGACCCCGCCGGCGAAGACAAGGTCGACAAACTCGGTTACCTCCTTGGTGGGCGCGAGTACCGCTGCCGCACTTTCACGATCCTGGGTCGCGGAGAGCGCCTTTACATGTTGTCCACCGAGCCGGCCCGTTGCATAGGCTTCAGAGACAGCTACCTGTTCTTCCAGAAGCACAAACAGCTCTTCAAGATCATCATGGACGACGACGAGAAGTACGACATGATCAACCGCGAGCTTATCCCGCACTCCTACAAAGGTCGCGCCATCGGTGTCGTCACCGCGCGATCCGTATTCCGCGAATTCGGCGCGCGCATTGTGGTTGCTGGGCGCAAGGTCATAGACGACTACTGGGAGTCGCGAGAGCGCGCTGCAGGCGCAGTCGAGGGCGACCTCGCAGACCCAGAGGACCGTCTCCCTGCCAAAGGCGAAGAGTACAATCGCAACCAGTACGTAGCTTGGCACGGCGCCAGTAGCGTCTACCATACCGGTGCTCCCTCCGTTCCCCTGCCTGTCGGCGCAGCAGCGGCGAAGAAGAAGCGTGTAGTCGTGACGGACACGAACTGGATGTTTGAGCACTCGCACGCAGCATCGCAGTTCAATTCGCGACTGCTGGCACAGCGCCTTCAGGGCGCCGCGGCGGGGGTGTATGAACCCCACACGAACCTGATTTTCTATCCAGCCGCTACGCAGCCAACGAGGGCGAGATGGGAGCAGGTTGGTGCGGGCGAAAAGGGGAGAGGTGCGGTTATTGAGACGTATTTGGAGAGTGTGCCGATTGGTGTGGGAATTGATGTGGGCAAGGAGTTGGGATTGGGCGTCGAGATGTACGATGACGCTTTTGTAGAAGGGCTTGGCACTGAGGAGGAGAAGATGGCAGTTAGGGCCATGAGGAGCAGAGAAAGGGAGTGGGCGGGGAGGTGGTAATGTGGGCTGCTTTATCTTTTTTTTTTTTGTGACTCTATGTGTGTGTGTATTCTAATTCTCGATATATTCCTTTTCTTGGGTATGATGAATTCATTCGGGGTTTTCGAACGAATTCGGATCGTTATGTTCTACCCTCTTTTCCCTTCTTTTTTTTTAAACTATTAAGCTTCTTGTTCTTTATTTTTTTTACTTGGTATTAAAGTACTGTTATGATAGCTAGCTATGTAGCTAGCCTGCTGGTGGTCAGCTGATTGGTCGATCGGTCAGTCACGGCAGTGGTCATGTATGATATGCACTTTATCTAGACGGCCTAGAGTGTGGGCGGGAGACATAAAAAAATCTACTCTATTGGCTGTTAACTCCGATATATCACAAATCCTACTTCTCACGAGCATTGAGCCTTGGGCCTGGCGACTCACGCAGTTAACGCGCAGTCTAGACCGTGCCCATTAGATTACATATATACCGTCCATCAATCTAGTCATCAATTATGAATTATGGGCGCTTTCTGCATTCGGGCTCCACAATTGAATCTTTGAGCCTCGCGCAGGTGGCGGCGTCTCATGCACTTGACGCCTTGCTCCAGTAACGCGCAGGTTAACAGTCGGGATTGTGTTTATGTAGCGTTTGTTCGGGCGTCGCATACACCTTCTGCTTCTTCCGCAATCTTTGCCACCATGCGCTAGTTACACCAAACGAGTGATCTCTCATGCAGCACCGAGTGATCGGTGATGAAGTGTATGTTGCCAAGCCCTTTTGAAGTGCTTTTGTGACGGATCACGTGAAGTTGTGTGACAGACATCTGGGGATGCGAGTGAGGGGCTGTGATTAATTGTTGGTTGGTACAGATTTCATTCTATAATGGAGAATATTGTGGTATTGGGAGCCCCGGGGGGGAGGGGGGGGGGGGGGGGTGGAGAGTTATGTGTGACTCCCTCTCGTAAGTTGAGCTGGTGTTGGTGGTGGACCGCCAGGGTGAGGTTTTGGCGCACAGAGTGGTTCGGCCCAGTTAATCGAGTAGATACTCATTTTACCAAACAGCTTAGGGGTCGGGAATCTCGTTGCGTCCCCCAAATATTGGCAGGGTATAGGGGCCTAAAAGAAGATCGTGATCTGATAAGTGGGTAAGCGTTTGCATTGAATATCTCCTGCAGACTCAACCGTCGGCTTGAACTTACAAAAAACGCCCTATAGTTAGACCCCAACGTTTCGCGCTCTTCCGAGGAATTTTAGTTGGCCAGATGTTTTTACTGGCTATTGTTGCTCTTTCACCCTTCTTAAAATCCTCCCACCAATCACAGGCGCGGTGGGCTATTCCTGCGCATTAATTTCGGTGGAAGATGATTGGGCAGCCATAAATTGGGGTTTTGTGATGGTGTTTAGAACTGTTCTTCATGTCTTGCCCTCTGGAGAATGGCACTAGAGATGGTTTTGATCGAGTGGATTGACTCCATGGAGTTGGATTGGCGAGGTAAAGATGGGAGATGGTGAGTAGAAGCCGATCGATTTCGCTGGGGCCATGTGCTCTGGTGGTAGTGTAGGTATGGTTGACTTCATACATAAACGTGGCAGTCGTTGCATTTAGTTTCTGGAACAAAGGAGTCATGAGGGTTCGTCTATGCTGTCCTAATACATCACCTAGTAGAACTGCTCTTGGGTATCGATAGTCACTGCGTGTAGAATACAGAGCACAGCCACAGAAACATCGCGTCCTGGGAGATTTCTCAAGTTTTTGGTATGCCACACTGTACACGCCGGCACTTGTTCACGAGTGTAGGCGGATGAGAATGGGTAGTTCAGGGGACATTGCCATAACTGTAAGGTTGCATGCAATCAATGAATTAAACAAAACAAAAAAAAAAAAAACGCCGGCACTTGATATCATGTCACGAGTAAGCGGTATCGGCTACGCGTAAAAAGTTGGAATCAAACCTCAAATCGGGGCATACCTGATCATCATCATGTGCACTTAGGTTTCCATGCTCACGATGGATGCTCTAAAACTTCGATAGATCAAAAAACTGTTCATGAATCTTTTTTCCTACTGTAGCCAACTCAGTTCCCTTAAATGCGTGGGATCGAAGTACTCGGGCTGGCCAGAGGCCGTACCCCCCCCCCCCCCGCGGGCCCGAAGCACTTCGATCTCACTTCACTTGCACTTTAAATACATGTACTCGCATTTTCCAAGGGAATAGATGCACAGAAAAAAAGAGGCTCAGTGCAGTTATGTAGTGGTAACTCTGCTGCTTCAAAGCGGTTGAAACCACGCTCTGGCTAGCTCACCTCAATGAGGTTGGGTCAGAACCCTCGGCTTGTACGTCATCCTCCGGCCTAGCAACTCCTGGTACCATTCTACAACATAAAAAGCGCCCTCTCCTTCACCCACACTTCTAATCCCTTCCTCTTTTTCTTTTTCTTTCTCCGCCCCATCTTCATCTCTTTATCTCTCTCCACTACTTTATCCCTTCCTTCTTATATTCACAAAGGTCCTGGTCGTGATGAGTACAACTCAAGTTATCTTGAAACTTTTTCAACTTTTCTTTTCTACCTAAACGTATCCTCCAGCCTTGTTTCCAAAAAAAAAAAAATCTGGACTATTGATTTGCATTAATTAATATGATTGTAGAGCTTTCGCGGCCCTAAGGTCACACGACAATAAGTCTCGAGATTTTCAAGACTCAATTTGAAAAATGCAAGAACTGCTGAGACTTTCCTAAGTTTCTTCTCGTCCCGTGCCCATCACTATACCGTCCTGGTATGTGTCTAAGGCGATTCTTTCACGCAGTAAATGAGGGAGGAAGGAACAATCTACAAGTGTTTCCTCTTTAACTTATAGCTGCCCTCGAGCTTCGAAATGCAGTCACACTACAGCGCTTTACAGAAGTCTATGAATAGAATTACCCAAATATACGTGCGGCTAGTCGACCTTGTCTGGGGCAGCATGTGTTGGTACACTCACTGGGAACACTTTCACAATTGCCAATATTGGAGACTCTCGCTGCTGGATCTACCAACTATCTGCTAGCGACTTTGTCCTAAAAAACAGAGATCTCGAAAAGAACATCCTCTAGATTTTCGCATTATTGGTGATCCCCCTCGGTACATTAACGACACACCCTAAAGCGTATGGCTCACGCTATCATATGGATATCACCCATCTGATCGGTTAATTGATCTTGCACCCTGATCATGACCGCCCCTCGTGGAGACAATTAATAAACTAAAGGATACTTGGCTTATCCCCTGGGTCGTATCATCCGATATTATGGTCCTTTTGGACCTAAAATGTCTTTGGGGTTTTTTCACCCAAGAGTTCAGAAAGAGTCTACGACAAACGTTTGAGTACAAGGGGGCGTGTGGTAGTGGCCTCTTCATCTTTGAAGTGATTGGCGGTAAACATAGCGTACGTGAATTTTGGGATATTTTGGTTTTCCCACCGCCAACTACAGCGAAAGCTTGCTATAACGGTACGCTCGGGACCGGGATTTGGTACCGTTATAGAGAGATTACCCTTATATAGGAGGTGCTGGTGCTGAAAGCCAGGCGAAAAGGACCGAGAAGTGCTATCGTTATAGAGAGATTACCCTTATAGAAAGTACCGTTATAGCAAGCTTTCGCTGTAGTGTGGTCCATGAGCCGGCTCGAGTCGAGCCGGCATATAAGCCCGAGCTGGCCCGGCCCATGAGGCAGAGGCTCGCAAGGCTTGAGCTGGTGGTTAATGATGTAAAAAACAGGTTATTCTTACTAAGTGTAGTAAAATGGCAGATATAAGCTTCATTTCATGGAGTAATACTGTGAGAAAGGATTTATTTAACTCAGCATTCTAGTGGGTATAAATCCCCTCCTGGCTTCCTTGATGGCTTCTAGAGCCTAGTTCAGAGCGAGTAAACTGAGCTTGAGATCAAGCTCGAGCCTTAGAGAAAACGGTTCAAGCCGGCTCAGGCTCGCTGGAGGGTGAGGCTCGCTAAGCTCGAGCCAAAAGCTTGAGCCCAAAGCTCGAGCCGGGTCGGCCCATGGACCACACTACCGCCAACTCAGGAATCCCACCGCGGCCGAGGGGATAACCTTGGTTTAAAAGGAGCCAGAGTAATAAATCCAGTTCTTGGCCGATTTATGAACGATACTAGGTCATCTAGACGGTTGAATACATGTATTATTAGGCACTAAAGGGCCACCCGGTGACCTAGGAACACACAGGTGTAATTATTCAGCGCCGTTGGTTTTAATGGTCCAAAAATTTAGTGCTGGTCAAATATGAGTGTGGTCCAGCCCACGCATTGCGACATTGAATAGGGAAAAATCGACGAATAAGTCAGATGTGAGGTATATAAGTATCCGATATGCAGCTTCAACAGTACATGGTCCATATATAGTTTATAGATATTGGTCAAAAACATTGTCTTTAGCTCTTTTCTAGTGTTGTCTATGAGCCGAGCCACAAACTCGAGCTGGCTCGATTCCTTGTGGTCTTAGGCTCGTAGAGCTCGTGGTATAAGGTAAGCTCATAGTACGGATAGTACGGGTCGAGCCTCTACTAAACAATCCAAATGAGGCCCATATGACCCCTATTCGGGAAGAAGAGGACTACGTACGAATCTATACAGACCCCCCCCCCCCCCCTTCATATCCTCTCATATTTAGCGTGCAACTTGTCACCTCCGGCTCGAGACTAAGCTCGCAAATTTCAGTCAAGGCTTGAGCCAGCTCGGCTCATTGATTACACTACTCTTTTCGGATCGAAGAAGTAACTCCAATTGGTCAATTATCCGCTGGCCTCGGATTATTTCATCGGTGCAAAATTGCTCTTGCCCGTAAAAACTAATTTTACTGGATAGGCTTTGTTCATAGGTGGTCTAGAACCGCGCGGATATCTTAACAGAGCTGATGCTGCTGTCATATAATGATGGAACTATGTTGATCACGATCTTCATACTTAGTGGCCCAACACGGAGCATTGGGAAACAAAAGCCTTCCCCAGATACCCTATCTGGGGTCTAAAA